TAAATGCTTTAAAAAGATAGTTTGCTATTTTGGAAAATACATATTCACTTTCTAGCCACAAGTCTGTACACTACATGTGAAACTACCACCAGCATATGGTTAGCCTAACGTAGCACAAAGACTATAAACACAGGAAACAGATCTGTCTGAAGACTTTAAACAAGTTAACTCTGAAATGTAAAAATGTCAAAAACTGAAGGGGAAAACAGGAAGAAGTGACTGGACTCTTGCTGTCACTGTGAAGTGAAGACTCTACTGTCACTAAATTGACTTGAAAATTACTGAGCAACATATAGTATAGTAATTTAGATGAAAACATTAAAGCATACAGAGTGACTGACACTTGTTGTTGCAGGCTTTAAAGCTTCTTTATTCTTGGTGTGGTGCATACTGTGCTTGACAAAATGGAATGAAAAATACTTGGGTCACACTGCATCAACCTGATCACAAAGGGTACAGTATAGTATGTGAATAATTTGGCATAAAGCCATTGGGACTGGTAGTTATGGGAACTGACAGCCATGTGAGCTGGTGACTGAGAGATGGCTGTTACTGTATGAGCTGGGTGATGTTGAGACCAATGACTGTTGTTGGCTAAAATTATTAACAAAGTCATACTTTAAGGTTGATTCTAACATTTGACGAATTAAGAACTTAATTAGTAGAAGATTAACATTATGCCTGTTGATTAGTCAACCTGTGTGTTTACTTCGTTTGCGTATGATAATTCTATCATAGTTAAGATTTAGTTTATAGCACACATAAGTTTACCTACTTTAATCTTACAGTTATGTTTATGTAGTTACATGTCACCTTATGTGTTCACTGAATCACTGGTCAGTATTTACTGTGTCAGTCAACTGGAGCACTGTTTAACATCAAGGGGGGACTGGTTCACTAAAACACTGAATCTCATTAGGTTTACAGCTTTGACAAGGAGGGTCCACAGATACTTTATTATCACCACCTGGCTGAAGAGGCCAGGGAATTTGGAGTCACTGGGACACCAAAGGTAATAAACAAGAGATTAGATCTAAAAGTCAGGAAGAAGAAGACAACTTCAAAGGCAGGGCAATATACAGACACACACAGACAAGACAGTTTAATTAGCCAAATGGAAAGCCATGTTTCATATAGTGTAATTAGTTAGTTGGAAACAAAGAAAGAAGTGAGTGTAGGAATTTAGGCAGAGTAGGATTTCCTCCTTTCTGCTCCATCCCATTGGAGCAGAAAGGATGTAGGAGGAGGACGGATGGATAGATGGACCAATAGAACAGCATGAGAGGACTGGACCAGCCTACAATGGCACATTTGAAATTGTATAAAATCAACTGAATGGAGGAGGACAGGGTTCCCTCTCGTCCTGAAGACAAGTTGAACGGTTTTGCTGTTGAGGTCAGGGCTTCAGATAGAGACGGAAGCCAGAGCTCTGTAAACTGCTTTATTCGATGGTCTGTTTAGTTATGATAATAAATGTTTGAAAATTGATATTCGATCCCGATTATTCTTCATAAAAGAACACGCAGGACAGTGAAAGTTCGACACTGTATATACAATGGATACTGTATGGAATCACCACTTCCCTCCACTATGCAAAGGTGAAGCCAAAATGTCTTGAATACAATAGCTGCTATCTTGATTTTTTGAAACCAGATTCTGCGCAGTAGTGACCAAAAGTGGAGTGACAGCATCAGACCGCCAATCAAAGCTGTCAAATCAACTGAAATACACCACATTTAGATCATCGAATAAAGTTATTAAAAACAAACTTACAGAAAAAAGACCACTTGTAATATCTGTCAAAGACCACAGAAGTGATCTTTGGGAAAAATGTATTTGATCTGTACTTCAAGTTTTTATTTTGGTTCATGTCCCATCTACTAACATGGATTTTTGACCTATAGTGCAACCAGCCACCAGGGGGCGACCACGTCGCCAGGGCTTCACTTTTGGGAGCTGTCATGGCATCCGTATTTTCTACAGTTGATGGTTGAGACACATGCAACCAAGACTTGCTTAAGGGACAGTACACTGCAGCTACTTGTGTCCTTGAGCAATGTGCAAATTATCAAGTCAATGTTCAATAACAGTATTCTATGTAAATTATCCAGGGAACTAAGCACTTGCAAAAAGATGTTATTATTCCAAGACTGAAAATCATAATAGAAGTAAACAGAACACCGCTGGGTTATATGACTGATATTAATAAGAATATCATTTTTATTTATTTATGTTCACTAAAACGGTTTCACTGTTATGCATCCAGACAAATCTCACAGGTACAACAAAAACGACAACCACCTGCCCTCAATGGAGGACCTGTACACTTCATGGGTCAAGAGGAAGGCAAAGAAGCCCTCACACCCTGGTCACAAACAGTTTGAAGTCCTCCCCTCTGGACGGCGCAACAGGTCACTGTACGCCAAAATAACCAGACACAAGGACAGTTTCTTCCCCCAGCCATCACACTGATGAACAGCTAATCCATGCTTGTATGACAGGACACAGTAATCACCCCAGTGCAATAAATCGTAAATATAACCAGTCTATATATCAATCTGAAGCTCTTCTGCCACAATGTATAAACAGATCATTTATTTTTCTCCATATTCTCTATCTCATCTGACTTCACCTATTTCCTATACAGTATATTCTAATATGTTTGTGCCTTAGAAAAGCACATTTGAATACTTGGCATACTTGGCAAATAAAGCTGATTCTGAAGAGTTCAGTAAGTAATTTTGCTAACTTTGCTTAAAATTATTCATTTCAACATTATTTCATATCATCATTGTACGATATCACCAAAGGTGAGTGAATAATTGTACTGAATTATTGCTCTATACTCTGTTATTGAGATTTATTGGTGAATATGCAATGTCTGAATTAATTTAAGTGATCATACTGTATAAGATATACAGTATTTAGTGAAGTGATCAATTTGGTAGTAAATACTAAGGGAGGCTACTGTTAGGTAATTTCTTAGTTAGATAGATATTGATTAGAGATCTGTTGTATTAGAAAATGTTAGTGTAGCCAGGATGTCTAGCTCAGGCTGTTAAATGCTCAGTTCATTGTCATGAGTTCTGCAGGCTCCATCTAGGCCAAGGTCAACTAGATTGCAGAGTCTGCAGGCAAGATGAATATTGTTAGTAGTATGATATGTTCAGCCGTAATCTTAATCATAATATCTTCCGAGGCTTACTGTTCGGACATGTCCCTGAATGTCCTGTATGTTTTTAGATACACACCACTAATCAACAGCCACACACTTTAATTTTCTCCATGTTTTGACTACTGCTCTGGTCAGCTGCCAAGCTGGCATATCAGGTGACGTCACGGTTTGACGTGGCCTGTGTAGGATGGGGCTAGCCCAACCAAGTGATTAAATTGTATAGGCTATTAGGTTCGGGGCTTTTTTCATCTTCCTGGCTGCCTGCGGGCAGTACTGGAGGTGGAAGATGCCTGGAAGTGTGGTGTTAATTTTGCCTGTGATCCTTTGAATAAAGCAGCACGGTTATATTTTTTATATATCCAAGTGGTCTGCGTCGTCTCTCAGAGTTCCTGGTTGAAAGAACTGGATAATATCTTTCACTACGCGCTGGTAAAACGGCTGGCTTAAGTGTTAGCTCCACACAGATAGCACAGCCTAGTAAGTATACTTGGCTCTAGCACAGTATTTAGCACACCACATCAACATCACGTAACAATAAAGCTGCAAAACATATCACAGTAAGGAGAAGACAGGAACTTTCACTGGAAGAGACCACAACAGGAGTTATACTGTAGTTGAAAATGAGACACTACTGGAGAAAATATTCAGCTGTGTTAACAGTGAGAATTTCTTTGCTCTTTTAAACCCAAAATCTGTTGATCCTGTGTTACCTTTCCACTCCACTCTTGAAATTGCTACTTATTAGTGGGAGCATCAAATATCAGTAAAATTTTATTTTATGATTAGAACCTTTTTGCACCTAAAAATAGCAACAAAATAAATATGCTATATATATCTGCCAAGCTAATTAAGTTTTATTTATAGCCTTGGTTTAAAAATAAGTTCTAAGAGTAAGGCAAGCAAAAGGAGTTCAGTGGATTTAAGCAATAGAATGAGTGCAGTGTTATCACCAATGGCTGCTTTGTGCACCATGAAAAGTGAGCTTTTTCTTCGACAGTCTCCAGAAGGAGGAGACCAGTCACCTTCACAATTTTCCTCTAAAATAGCAGCCACTACACAGAATGGCAACCACACAGGGCCATGAAGGGTGACGCCGGTCCCTGTAAGCACAGGGGGCCTGAGTCTACCTGAACAGACTATAAGGAAACCCTTCATGAAGTCACCCTCCCATATTTTACTTACACTTACAAACACATACTGTATACACAAGCATATGCATCCAAACACGCGCGCACACAACATAGTACTTACTGTAATCTGTAAACTATACTTCTACAGCCACTAAAGAAAAATGCCTGCTATAAAATATGCGCGTAGGCCAAGTTACATTAATTCAGTTTGGAGTCAGTTAATGTTGCTCTTTCCGCCATATGTTTTCACTAGAGTACATGCCAAGCTGTTTCAACCTCCCCACACTGTTTGTGTGTTCAGTTCCAAAAGGCTTTCCCTGCTGGCAAGAGTGGTGCTAAGCTGATGTTTACTGTGACTGTATTCCATATCAAATGCATGTAGCCTTTTTGTAGTCAGTGTGGGTGGCCTTATTGTTCTCTTATTGTTCTAATCTGCAGACAAAACTATATAGATTTTATATCCACAGTATTACATACTCCAACTGATGAGGTATATTTTACTTACATGATATCACCTATGGATCCCATTTGGTCTGTCATGTCATTTTGTGGTGACACCCTAGTTTTTTCCCTTTCCCTTACAGAGCAAATGTTCTACTACAAAGGCATTGGTATGATGAAAAGTAAACACCTGAATAATGTTCCTCAGTTTAAACTTGATCTAAGAATGTGTTGCTGCCCTGTGTCACTCTTACCCTGTCTGTGAGACTAGCCTGTTTGACTAGCTGCTGGTCACGGTCCAACTGGCTTGGAGACAGCTGCTCCCTCAGGGCCGTGCTCTCCTCCAGCTCACTGACCTCAGAGCTCTCACCTGAGATTAGGAAGCAGATCATGCAAAAACAAGTGTCAGGTTCACCACATGGGCTATAATGATGTTATAGCCTATATAGCCCAATCACACCTCCTCCAGTTGCCAAGCATCTTGTTGACAACAGTCCTCTGCTTCAAGAACCGTCCCAGAGAACTGTTCATCATCTAGCAAGGCAGATTTATGGTCTTTACTGGGCAGGTTCAATTACATTTGCTGTGCTTTTGGAAAACAGCTCTCGGCCCTACCAGCTGGCTGCTGCGCCAGGTTGTGGGTGATGATCTGGCGAATGCGTGTGGAGACAGGTATAGGCATGACACCGGACTCCTGTCCATCACCTCTAAGTGTTAGATTCAGCTCTCCTGAGCTGCCATCAGAGTGAAGCAGTGACTCCTCCAACTTCTAGAATCACACCCATCACAAGAAAAAGCAGTACCACATTCATAACACATTTTACTCAAGTAAAAATACAGAAATGTCAGCCAAAAACTATATTTACTCAAAAGTAATGCTATACATTATGCAGTATGATTGCTTGGTGGTTTATGTATTGAACTGTATATGTTATTGTCTTATTATTATTATTATTGATTAATTACCTTTGAAGGAGCATTAAAATAAATAATTAACATAATTTCTATATAGTTTTAGAACATTTAATCTATAACAGTGTATCATTTTTGATATAAATAGGAAAGCATTTATTGTCCCACGGGCAGATTTGTTTCACAGCCTGTACACAACACAGAAACATACAGACATCCGACCAACACATTTATGTTCCTGTCCTTGATTTTGTTCTAAACTGAGTGTACATCCAGTCTTTGGTAGTAATTTCTGGCATCATGTTGTCCTTTCAAATTGTTGGAAAGTAACTGCTGTAACCATCTATTTTCCCCCGAGGGGATTCGTAAAGTTCTATCTGCATTTCTTCAAGCACTGTATTAAAATCCAGTTTTTAGGCTTTGACCTCTACTAGACCTTAGTATTTTCATATTTATACTATACCTCTACTCAACTGGCAGAGACAAATATTGCTGGTTTATTTTGCAGATTCATATTATTGATATAATATATAATAAACAACAACATTATGATGTCCTTTTATAAACTACCCAGCAGCATATAAAATAATTAACAACAGGGCCACCTTTATCAGCTGCAACAATATAGTGATGCTTACACTATATTACCAATAATTATAATACAATTATAGACATAATATAATTATAATACAATTATTAGACCTGGAGAGAGGGAGGTCTGGGCATCTTTGCTTAGACTGCTGCCCCCGCGACCCGGCCCCGGATAAGCGGAAGAAAATGGATGGATGGATGGAAAATACAATTATGCATTATATATATTATTCTGATATTTATACAGTATATTTGAATATATAGTAGTTTTGTATAATTACTAGATAACTACTTTTGGCACTTGATATTTAGATTATAAATTTGTTTAATTCTACACCGTTATTGTTACAATAACTTTAGTAAGATACCTGTTATACTTTTCCACCTGTGTATTTTCCACAGCAGACATTCTGAATTATCACAGTATTGTTGGCGTCAACATTCAACAGTGGCTCTGTTCTTTTCAGATATGCAGGGTGTTAGTGATCCTGCAGGCACAACTGGTAACCGAAGAGGCCAAACTGAATTCAGCCATCTTTAATTTCATTATCTATGCCAGTGCTTTCACTAGTGTGCCATGCCTGCCGTCAGAAAACAAAAACAAAAACGCTAACACAGTGGAAATATTACCAACCTGAATCACGGCCTCCAGTCTAAGTGAGTGTGCACCTTGCTCCCGTCGAGAACTCATTACACGGCCTGCCCAGCTTAAACTGTTAGCTAACTAGCCGCCTTACCTAAAACTTTAATGGCTTCGTTTGACGAGACAGAAACGTTATCCTAACCTTAGCTTGCTATAGCTAATAAAAGACAAATGTTGACTCAAACAAAGCAGAAACCTAGCATGTCATTAAAATAATGTAATAAGACATTAAGAAAAGGCATAATGACCTGGTACCTGCTTAAAGAACAGGCGTAAGAATTGAAAAAACAAATCACTGACACAACTTTTTAGCCGAGTAACTTTAGGAGCCACTAATAGGCAAACAGCAACATTCTAATACCAGTCGACGTTGCCACGGTGACCACGCGCTTCCGGTTCGTTGCCATAGAAACACAATGTTGGCTTGGGCGTTTCCATGGCAGGACAGACGCCTAAGCCAAGATACTGGATTCCGATGGGTTAATGATCAAGGCAGTGAGCAGGGTTTTACCCAAAGAGCATTTACATCTGGTTGATCATTTGTCAGGTACAGGTGCATTTCCAGTTCACATTTTTTGATATAAAACCAACAGCATTAATAATCAAAACAGTAGTCCACAAACTATTTCTGCAAAGATTTAATGATTCACAAGAACCATTCAGTGAGAGAAAATAGAATTTAGATCTCAAATATTTGATACATAGTACAATGAAGCACCTTCAAAGTTGCCCAGCGGGCCCTAAAAACAACCAAGAATATCTAAGGATCATGTAACAGTATTCTAGAACACAGTGATCCTGGGACAATCAGAATCTGCTTTATTGGCCAGGTGTGTCGGACACACGAGGTATTTGACTCTGGTACATGGGCTCTCAATGTGTATGTACATATCCCCATGCAAGGGGCAAGTAAACAGTAAACCAGCATAAGGCTGTGTAACATAACAAAATAAGCAGTATTAACAAGCAACTGCTTATTATAAACGTTCAATTTGCACTGTAAGAGGGATATGACAGGAGCATGTCTCTGTGAACCTGAGTTTAGCCCTGTGTAGGACAGAAGGCCATTACAGTGAATCTATGGGGAAAATCTCAGGCCACTGCGATGGGTCTAGGAAGATGGTGCAGACCCCACTGTAGACCCAGAGTCTTGGCAGGAAGCACTCCACCTGCCAGGTGTTGGATACTCGGTTGTAAACCTCCACCTCCACCCTGTAGTCCCCCTCCATACCTTTCCAGTGGCCTCCAGTAACAAACAGCTTCCCATCCAACGTTACCAGTCCACCATTTTCATGTAGCATGTGGAGGAGCTGAACCTGAAAAAAGGGGGTTGTCATTCAATAGCTGAATGTACAGTACAGTATAAAACCGAGTCTTTGTGCTACAGTATATGCCTGTTAAATTAGTACTCATATAAATAAGTGTTTTGTACTGCATTTAGTCAGCAGCAGCCCACCTTGTGCCATATGTTCGCCTCTGGATCATAGCAGAAAACCTTCTTTGTGTTGTCAGCAACCAAATAAATAATTCCATCCATGCAAACAGAACAAGGTGAAGACAAGTACTTAGGGATGAAGGGCGAGCATACAATGGTCCAGCTGTCTGTAAAAAGATGTCAGTAAATAGAGTGGTTGATTTGGCACAATACAGAAAACACAAATATTCATACTGAATTACAAACCAGGTTTGGGTTTAGTAAACATGTGAATAGGATGGAAAGAGAGAGAATAGTCCTTTACTTAAAAGATCGAACACAGTCAAGTGACAATTAAGTGAATCATCATTTGCACACTTTGTGGCAAAAGCAACTGAATATAAAAAAAATTCAGAAGGAGAGAGCTTAATATTTCATATATTTTAGAAAGACACACATCCACCAGTTCATGGAAATGTAAGGACTTTTCTTGGACAAATCTAATTGGTTCCTCTATCACACCCAAGTAAGCAGTTACAGTACTTTTCTGAGAACATTGGAAGTGATAAATTTGTTGTTAAAATAGCATAAATACCAAGTTTAAAAAAAAAAAAAAATCATGGAAAAAATATGGAATTGTTGCTCTATCAACAAGGGGTGAATGAGTGATGAAAGTACAGTGAATGTACTGTATTTCCAAGTAGTTTAATAATTATCTTTTAATGTTGCACATCTTTTTGTTTTTTACAGTACCCTGTCTAAAAAGTCACTCTTTATAACCTGTAGCTCTATTAAAAACAAATCATTTGTTTGAGTTAATAGGAACAAATGTTTAGTTGGTAGATGATGAAAAATGTTCCCTTCTCTTTGAAAACCAGGTATAAATCCATTAATAAAAGGATGCCTTATTAGAAGGTGGCATCAAAACATACACCAGTATCCTCACCTATGACAGGGTTGTAGCATTGCATGGTCAAAGCATTGTACTTCACAGCACACGAGCCAATCACATAGAGCTTCCCCTGACACGTGGTGGCGGTGAAGTTGGTCACATATTTTATAGCAGGGCAGGTCAAGGCCCAGGTGTCGTTGTAAGGGTCATAACGCTCAACCTCAACTTGGTCTGACGTTGTGCCTAAAGAAGGGAAACATAAGTAGATTGAGTGATGGGGCAGAATCATGCTCCCAAACAAACAAATATTTAAAGGAAGAGGCAGCACAAACACATGTAAAATGCTGCTCTGTTTTTAGGACCTGGCTATATTTCAGGCTTTTCACTCACAAAGATGAAATGCAATAAAAACTATCACCACAGAGGTAAGAGCAGATGAGTTCCTGGAGTTTATCAGTTTTCCAGTGCACTGCAGATTTAAGGCATCACACGGAGGACTGTATTTATTTTATTACCTCCAATGACATAAATTTCCCCATCGAGCGCTGCTGACGTGTGGTTAGTCCTAGGCCGGAGCATGGGTGCCACAGTAACCCACCTCCCCTCGCTTGTGATGTACTTCCAGGTCTCTGTGGTTGACCAGGTGTTGGTATTCGAACCTCGCGACCCCCCTGTCAGACAGGAGCAGTTTGTCAATAGTCTGTCGATTCATTCCTCATGAGAAAAAAAAACAGCTCAAAACTGTTTATCATTACTTCTTTGTTGTTTGCCTGATAGGTTTCAGGACTTGACCCACCTGTGATATACACATTATTGTTCAAGGACACCACAGAGTAACCCCACTTGTTAGGGTTGGGGAAATTAGGGAGCTCGTGCCACTGTTCTGCAGAGATATAGAAAATGGGAGTTAATGTTTGAAGATCACTGAGAGAATGAGGGAAACTTCCTGAACATCTAATGTGAAAACCACAGAGAAATATGCCTCTTGTCCATTCATCTCTGCAGAATACTTTCACAAGGCACTGTATGCCTCTTGTCCATTCATCTCTGCGTGATAAAACGCTCAATGATCCAATTTTGTCACGTTTCTGCAGAGCCGTTTTCTGTCAGTACTAAATTTCACGACCTATGAGGAGGAATCACACAGACGCTTCTCAGCAAACTTTAGTTGTAAAATGGATTGCCAGCTTGAAATTTTGAGAAAGGAGAGAATATTTTTTTACTAGTCTTTGTGTTGTAGAAGGCACAATTCTTTTGCAGCGGTGTTTGCGGTCTTGGGTCTCTGTCCTCGTCTTCATCTGAGTCTTCATCATCCGAGTCATCCAGTGAACGACCTCCCATGACAAACAGCACCTCTTGCAGGTTTGGCTGTGGACTCTGAGAGTTGGGTCTGTCCAAATGCTGTGGTGCCAAATCCATTTTCTACAAAAGAAAAAGTTATGACTATTTTTGGAAATCTACTCAGACTAATTAAAGATTAGAGTAAAAAGAAGAGCAAAGCGTGAACTCGCTAACCTCCCTGTGAACTTTTTCCACAGCTTCTGTGCAGCTGGGAGAGGCCTGTACCAGGCTGTCCTTCAACAGGGTGTTAGCCAGGTAATCCAAGCTGAGTAGAGAGAGACGAGACAAGGTGAGAAGTTCAGGCAGGTGGCAGAGCCTAGCTTCCTTGTGGTGTCTAACCCACTTCAAGATGGCCTCCACATGTGTACACTCTGACCGGATTTGTAGTCTTTCATCGCCCAGGCAGGTAACCAGCCTGTCTTTGCCCAACAGCAGGAACTCCTCACCTTGTTCTATAGCCTCAAAGTTCTCCAAGAGGAAGGCCCACGCTTTGGCTACCACCTCGGGGCAGCCGTGGGTCTCCCCAAACTCCATGATTCCCAGGCAGTTTGTTGCATCGATCTGGTGCTGGAGGTATCTGCTGCAAACGGCTCTCACTGTCTGGAACTGCAGTTGGCTTGAGGTGCAGATCAGCCCCTCTACATTGCTCTGATTGATGGTTAGTTTGCCTGTGTAGGCAAAGTCCAGCAAGCAGCTGAGTATATCTGGATCAACATCATGAAGCTCCACACGTGCAGCTATGCTCTCCACAAAGTCCCCTGAGAACATGCAGCGGAAGTACATGCTGCAGAGGGCCAGCACGGCACGGTGACAGGGGAAGTCCCGACCGCCTGCACTCAGCGTTACATCGACCAGTTTGGGGTGAGAGCAGAGTGAACGCAAGCCCTCCAGGATGCTCTGAGGATGGGAGGACAGGCAGAAGTCCAGGTCATCCACATTACGCACCATGGTCAAATCTATTTCAAAATGTACAGGAGGTCAGAAGGGATGTTCAAAAATCAGCTGAGAGTCTACCTGCAAGTAGAGACAAGTACATACAGTAAATGTAAGTCTAAACACTTTTTAAAAACTGATTAGGAAAGCATCAATAATGTAACAGTGAGGTACTGTACACGGTCTTAATCCAAAGTAGCCCTGATAACAGCACATTTTATTTGGAAGACATTTTTGATGTAACTATATAGAGACACTTGGGAAAAAGTGGTGTGCGGTAGTAGTTGTGTAGTAATGTCATTCATTACTAACAAAAAGTGGTTTATAATACATTAGTTTTCTTTGAATACAAATTTAAAAAGCCTAAACGGGAATTTGAGAGAAAATTTGAGTCACTGAGTTTAGAATTTAGTTTATGAGTTTCTCCTCTGTGACCTTTCTGAAACAATCTCCTTGATTAAACACTAAAGGCACAACAAAGTGCCTTGTCTTCTAACTGTGGCATCACCATGTTGCTACATGGACTACAAAATACTTTTGGCTCATGATTAGTATGATATGCTGTAACAGTATGACTCGAACCTCCTCTGAAGCCAACAATAAATTACATTTTCTGTCATCTGATACTATGAAATCAAGTAAAGAACTAGCAAAAAAAAAGAAAGAAAGAAAAAAGCAACTCACCACAGAAGAGAATGGAAAAAATGGCTCATCCTTCCAGTAAAAAGGCAGTTTGTAGCTGAGCAGCTGGTTAGATCAACATGGAGTAGGCAGCATGGCGAAAAGCTTTTGCAATATCACTGGGACAAACCGCCTGTCGTTATTTTTAGGACTGACAGTGGCGCTGAGCTGAAGTCAGATTCCAAACAACATGCATGTGACACAGCTGCTGTTACAAGGCACGTTTAGCATCTGACCTCAATGGGCCTGGAAGCTAACAAAGGAGATAACGGCAATGATTTTGAATGTTACAACAATTAATTTAGAACACAGCCAAGATAGACACAGTGCTTATCATCCACATCTGATTAAGACGTGAGGTTTTATTTAAGATGCCTTAAGAAGTTAAAGAACATGTAAGATAAATTGAATGAGTCTGAAGACTATCGTAAAAATGATATAATAATCAAGGTAACCAAGTGTTGATTTATTTTGTAGTATTGTTAAAATTGATGTGCTTCCTGTCTGACCATTGCTCATAAGCTTTCTGGAAAATATTTACCATAAGATGCTCTCTTAGCAAAAGAAAAATGTTTTCACCCACCTCACAACACACTAGTTTACTTGAATCACTCTCTTTTGTAATAGGGCTGGGTATGGTGTGAAATGTGATGCCACTGCCAGTCTGATAAGTTTCAATACAAGTATTAAAATATCTAAATATTCTAGTACAATATTTTTTTTACAAACTGTTTAATGTCCAACCTTCTGAATTGCATTGACACAATAAAATAAAGTACAAAAATAACAAAACTATTCAAATTAGGCAGTGTCTGATCAACGTAAAAAAGGCTAAGGTACTGGCTAAACATTCAGTGCCAGTCAGTACTTGACAATTGCTACAGACAGTTAAATTCACAGTTGAAAAATATCTTGTTCTGATACCCAGCCCTAAAGTCATCAAACTACAAAGCATAAAAAAATATCAAAAAATGACACAAGCAACTACTCAAAATCAAAAATCTCTGCCTCCTTCTCCTTCCAAAAAGCAAAACTACGGTCGATGTATTTACAAATCTCATCATTGCTAAAACTAGAGATGTCCGTTCCACTGCAGGACATCCCCTCATCAGGCGTAGGCGTCTGCACAATGACTTTAGGCACCTGTCGAACCTCTGGGAGGCTCTGTTTCTCCACTTCTGCAGTGCTTTCAGACTGGCTCGCAATGTTTCCAAAGAACTTTATTTTAATGTCTTCAAATCCATCCTTCCATTCGCGGTTCCCGGCCTCGATGTCCTCTAGCACTGCCTTGTGAAAGTCTCTGACCCTCTCCCAGGGAAAGCTCCCGATGTGGTCAAACACCTCGAAACACAGCAGGTGCCTCATTTTGCGTTCGTCCACGGGCAGATCCAACTCCAGGATGTGAAAGTAGCCCAGCATGAAGAGATCCAAGGTCAGGCTGTCATACTCCATAGGCATGCCCTCCAGTCGTGGTAGGAACTGCTCTGGGGAGTAGACGGCTTTCTGCCTGTGGAGCCTGTGGATAACACCGCATGGTTATTCAAGATGTTCTAACACTATGGCTACAACTAAGGACTGTTTTTGTTCTGAATTAATCTTTAAAATATTCTTCAACTAATCTGTGAACCTTTCGATCAGAAAATAGTTTAAAATGTCCATCACGTTTTCTAAGAGCCCAGGGTGATGTCTTTAAATTGTGTATTTAGTCAAATCAGCAGTTCACAACTTACAGATATTCACTGAATTACTGTTAAATTAATCTTATGTTTAAATTAGTTAAATCAGTGGAACTGTAGGCCTGTCAGTCTTTCTGTTTATAAAAAGTCAGTGTGAAAATGAACCGGACCAGAAAGATCATTCAACAGTTCAACAGTGTTTTCCTTTCTTTGGCCTGAACCAAATGAACTGACCACCTACAAAGCTGGGGTATAATTTTCTGTGGTATTGTCACTAAGAGTGTCCCCTTTTACCTTATACATAGTAATATGATCCACTGTTGATATAGAAATATTGATTAGTGTAGCTTTAATATGTCTATCTAATAATAAATAGTTGTAGAAATGTGTTCCAAGATTTGTCTTAATGTGGAGAGGTGCTGTTAAAGCTTCCTGTGACCCCGACTCATTGAACAGCACTGGCACCCATGCTGTTCATAGTGGAGCAGGGCGAGGGAGTGCAGGGTGGAGCAGAGTGGATTGAGTTGGAGTTTCAGGCTAGTGCTACCTTAAGCAACATATTGTAGCTGTAAATATGGCGAATTTTCACTAGAGTTTTATAAATGTTTGACTCTGGACAAGGAATACCTATTTAGTACCAGTTCGGTTTATAAATGAACATGTCAAATTAGCAGCTCTGATCAACAGTTCATCAAGTACCAAAAGGTAAGCTGGTACAGTGTAACACACAACAAAGGTCCACTGCAACACATGAGCAGCCTGATGAGGACCATGACAAAATAGACTGCTTCAAGGTATCAGTGCATCACATTTACCTTCTAAAAAGTCACGCCGTCCTACCTGCGTATCTGTCGAGATGGGACGCTGGAGATCATCCTCCTCCAGTTGCCAAGCATCTTGTTGACAACAGTCCTCTGCTTCAAGAACCGTCCCAGAGAACTGTTCATCATCTTCGACTGTGTGCTCTCCATGCTGCCTCTTTGACTTGGCTCAGTTTTGTCAACGGTCTCCGGGTGTTCTCCGCTCATCTTCCTCTCTGCTGCATCTTTGTTCTTCACTGTCATGGCGTAAGCAGATTTCCAGTGGCCTAAAAACAGCACCACTATACGCTCTTTTCTAAGGCTAGTGGTCTCCAGAACATCTGCAACATTTTCATCAGCGACAGTGCCAGAGTCGCTTTTCTGCTCTATTTCTGGGGCTGGATTCAAGACATCACACTCTTTGTCCGACTCTGTGGCCTTAAGCTGAGTGGAAGAACTTAACATGACAGCCTGATCCAGCTCATGTGACAAAGGTGAGTTCTGAGTCTCAAAATTGGACTTCAGAGTCCTAACAGACACTCCAAACTGTTGGATTTCATCCTCTATACTCGCCCTGCGTCCCCTGGTGGAGCTATGTCTGTCTGATGTCTGTGAGAACACAGTGATCAGGTCAGTGTTGGGCATCTTGCAGTAGGGCTGGTCTGTGAGGTTGGTCATGAGCAGAGACATGCTCTTCACGATGCCTGATATGCGGCCGCACCACACAGGTAGAGGAACTTGACTTGTGAAGTTTCTGAACTGTGTGTTGACAGTGATATTGACTATGGGTGCGGGCAGGATGTGCCTGAGCTCCTCAGCTAGACGAGCCAGCTCCAGCTCGTAGCCTTCACAGTTCCTCTGCAAGGAAACGTTGGCAATCTGCTTCTCCAGATAGATGAGGTCATCCTCAGTCAGCAGCTCACCAGAGGGCCCCAGGATGGCATTGTGGGCTTGGGAGTATCTCCAGCTGACTTTGGAATATCTGTTCCCATTTTCCTGTAAGGCATGTATAAAGTCTTTTTTAACATTTCAAGTGGCTTAGGCAAGCAAAGACAGTAAAACTGTGATCCAGCCCTAAAAAATATAACTGGACTAGAAATGTGCTATGTCTTCACTGATTTGACATATGTAAATAAAAGTAAAGACAATGGTATAAGTGTTTTCCAGTTTTTTAGACATGCAGATTTAGAATAGTCTCACAAACTCAGACCACAATTTTAACTTAGCTCATTGTAGTCTGTTTAGGGCTCAGTAATGACTCATTTAAATAAGGTTTATAAGCACATTGTACAACACTCTGCTAGAAAGCAGTAAAAAAAAACAAACCCCATCACAATTTCTTATTTCTTCCAAAAGTGTTCAAACAGAGCAGCAAATCTTCACATTTAAGAAGCTAGACTCTGAGGATGTTTGGCATTTTCACTTAGAACATAACTAAAACAAGAGGAAGAGCACATGTACCTCCGCCAAAGCACAATATTCATTCACAGGAATGAGATGCAGAACAACACAAGATATGTCCTAAAATCCTTGATCCTGATCGGATCCAGATAATCCTTTAGGGCATGATAGGCAGTTATACCTGGCATCTTACCTGAACATTTCAGGGTTCCATCTTCATTTCCGGCCAAGTTATGACAGAAAACAGGCATTAAATGTTTTCAATGTTAACTTTAAATGGCTGTCAGGTCTGGAATCCAAATCCTATCTGGATGAAATTTGGTTTGGTGATAGATATTGCCACCCTGCATATGTGTGTCAAATTTCAAGCAAAAAAAAATGATTTTGATAACTTTTGACAGAGATATGATTTTTTTATTTTATTTTGCCCCATGATAAAAATTTTTGTGATTTATTTTGTGTGACCTTGACCTTTGACCTTTTCAGCCCAAATCTAATCACTTCTATCACTTCTCACACACATACTGAACCAAAAACATAACCTCCTTGGCAGAGGTAATAATTAAAGATTTAGAAAAATGGCTGCAGATTCATTTTCTGCCAATTGATTAATTGACTTCCTAGCAGTATGTCTTAGTTTATGTTTTTCACCTAAAAGAAATTCTGGTGAAAAATGGGCCATGCCGTTGCTTCATTTTCTATCTCTGAGCTCCTAAAAAGACAAGTTATGCAAAACTACTGTATCCCTAGAATTTTAAATAAAAACACTTGCTGGTTGATTTCTGGCCTAAAATGTTGCAGCAAAAAATCTTCTTATAATTCATATAGAGCCAAACTGTTCATGAACCTGTACTGTCATAACAGATTTGCAAGGTTTAGATAAATGTACAAAGTGTAGTACATTAATGACGTGACTGTCTTAACAAAGACATTACCTTCCTCCTCTGGTCCTCCTCATCCAACAGCCTGGCCTGTAGCTGCCTCACCATGACTTGCCTCTTCCACTCAGCAATGGGACAGCCTCTGTCATCATGGGTGGGCACCAGGTAGTCGATGTCTGACAGGTTGGCCTCCTCAGTGGGCAGCACCACCATCTTATTTTGCTGAACACACAGCAATAATATTCCAGCTATAAGCATTTCACCTAAAGAAAGGAAGCACTTACAGTACAAAGGACAGATGGACAAACTAAGAAAGCTTGTTGCACTTACTGGCTGTCCAGAGAAGACCCCTGACATCCCCGATTGCTTCAGCGATGTAATGGACTTCATGTCCCCAAGAAGTTTTCTGTCAGCTAGAAGATTTACATCAGGCAGCACCGTGTTATCAGCAGAGATCTCGCTCCCCACCCCCCTAGGCTGACTGAACTCTTTAATATCTGAAATACAAATCATCAGTCTTGCTCAGTTGACTTTAGTTGAATAAACACATTTTTTTTCTATCAAGCAGTAACGTACAGCAACCACTTCAACACACCATGACATACTGTGATTAAATTAGATGTTTCCTTCCTTAAATGTTCCTCTCACCAGATGTAGCGATTTGAACCTGCTTTGTTCTACTGACAGCGTTCATTTCTGGCTGGGCATGTGTAGATGAAGCAGAAGGCAAAGGAGCTGCTCCAAGAGGGGCCTGAGGGTATCTCGCCTGTGGGTCCTCCTCACTCTCAGGTTGCTAATTTGGAGAATAAAGAGGCGTTGCTTGGTTGCTTTGGGTTATCATGTGGAATAGTGAAAAGAACAGAAAACATGGTGAAATTAAATCGTAGGGTTTCACAGGACCTTTAGACTATCCATGTGGGTGTTACTGCTGTGACCGTTCCTACATGTGTCGCTCAGAGACCCATAGTAGTCCTCCCTGTTGTGCTGCAGACACACAGCAAGCTTTACCTTCACTTCTTCCTCCACCGGATTAGTTACATCAGTGGGCCTGTCTGTACAGGCTGTCTGCAAATACAACAAAGTCATATCTAATTACATGGAATACTTTAAATACAGCAATTATGAAAAAGAGAAATCCAAGGCACTTTTCTTGAAAAACATTAAAAAGCACTTTATTCAGATTGCTCTCATAATTACAACTCTCTGCCCCCTCCTGAGTTTATTCTACAGCTTATTAAATGGACTCTTAAAAACAGTTCAAGATAAGGGCGCTGCTCTGGATTTTTGTTTTGCTAACCTTTTCTTGGGTCTATGGGAAAAGGATTTTGTGTATGGTAACGTTCTCTACTTGTGTGTATCGGTTCTAATGCTTTGTTGCCTTTATGTAACTGTTTATTTTAGGACTAAGTGTTCTTTGTTGCACCGCACGGAGTGACAGCAAGTTACAGCAGCCGTGTCCTCGTTGTGTTCTTTTCCGTGTTTTTATGACGTCCTGTTCTTATGTGTCTTTTCTTATGGTGTTATGTTGGTTGTTCTCTATTGCTGCTGTAACACAGACATTTCCCCACTGTGGGGTCCTCCCCTCCCCTCCCCTCTCCTCTCCTCACCTCTCCTCACCTCTCCTCACCTCTGTTTTACGTGATAACATAAAATGGTGGATTGATACACTGATGATGTTTTGTTGTTCTGGACTGGCGGAGGAGGAACTCTTCCTGTACTATGATTTTTTTTTAACACCAACAAAAGAAACAGAAAACTGAGTATTAAATGTTCTAAGAACACCATCTTCTTAGATCTTGCTGGGTGATGATAGGTTTTATCCCCATTAGTTTCAGTGCCTTTGGCCCATTTGTGACAGTGGAGTTTGAAAAGCAGGCTATAATAATGTCAGATCAATGTGCACAGAGAGGTTGTCGAACTAAAATTACTCAGCATGCTCATGAAAGAGCTCAGTCTATTTCTACATCAGAACTCTTTGAGAAAAGGGAAAGGAAGTCCCCAGATTGTCAGCTCGTCGATTCTAAAGAGAATAATATTGACCTGGAACCTCATAAAAAGCGACTCCATTCTAGGGAAAGTGTTTTCAGAGCTTTTCAAGATTAGTTTAAGTACAGCTCCTATGCTGCAGGATTGGTCAGTACGTAACTATCCTATGTAGCCAGTGACAATCCCAGTACCTGGCTCCCTCACCCCTAGAAGAGTCAAACATTTTACCCATAACGCGTACAACCTCAGATCCTTTATAAATTCCAATACCAAGTTCGCTGTACAGTATATGTCCTATCCTGCACTTGTGATTGTTGTAGTAGTTTCTTAATGTAAAAATGCAATTAGGATTATCCTCTGGATAGACATTTCCAGAATCCACATAGCAGCAACCCTGGCACCCTAATGTTTGAAGGTAGAGAGAACCTTTCTATACACATTAATTACAGGTTACGTGATATTGATTTTAGTCAATTTTCATAAATGTTTCTCTTTCTTAGTAGGGTTTATATACATTATATTTTGGTTTCCTGTGAAGCCACTTGCTGGTATGTTTTGGTCGTAACCATCAATGAGATCACTGGTTTCCTGTTTCTTAGCGCCTATCACCAGGTGTTTGTAATTACCTCACTTCTACTAAAGGGAAAACTGTGTGTTGCAGGTTACACCCTGAAGAAGGCAGTTTAGGCCGCTGTGTGTGGGCTGGAACCCATTTGTTTAAATATTTATTAGTATTGTTTTTAGTTCTTCGTTATGAGAGCCATCTGAATAAAGGGTTATTAATCTGCTTAAATGTTTTTGGTCCCTTTTCCAAAGAGCGCCTTCGACACACCTGCATCAAACTGAGCACTCCAGTTTTTTCTTTCTTCTTCTGCAAAAAATGATTAATTTATAAATTATGGATAAACCGTGAGGCTTTGGCTGACAAGCTGCAAGAGCAGGGGCAATTTTAGATTTGTTTAAAATGTTTTTCCCATTGTCAGGGAACAAAAGCCTGGTTATGAGACTAAATGTCACGCACTGTAGAAATTGTAAAGCTCCCTAAGGATCATTTGTGATAGCGGGGTATAGAAATACAAACTGACTTGACACTGATAGATGATAAAACACAGTGAACCTGTTGAAAAAACAAAGTTGCTTGTCTGCCTTCATAATGTCAAACCTTAGTGGTAACAAATAAAAGTGAAACTGCTCATTCACACCGAGTCACATCACACCTACTGTAACATTCTCTATGGTCAGACACCCCACATCATCTATGTAACAAGTACAGCCGTGGTATGACTGCAGCAGTGTCTCATGCCCTGGACATGGGATGCATTTGTACATTTTTCCAAAATCACACCTTCACTGAGGAAGTGCGACCACTGATATTGCTGTACGGACCTCACACTGACATAAAGTTGGACAGCTGCTGACCCTTCATAGGTTTTCCCACATTTCATTATGCACCCCTATAGGTACATCACAGCTGCTTTTCCTCCTCTATTTGAGTCAAATTTTAGAAAACAATATGCAATGTAACAAACCCAGTGTGTCCACGTGACATCAGATTGATTAGAAATTTAAAAGCTTTGTACCACTCCATATTTTTAGACATGTGAGCATTGCAACAGACTTGTCTTCACTGGAAACAACCACAGGGATACTGTGAGCAGAAAAAGGTTGTTTGTTTTTGCACTTGTGTGAATGTACCTAAAGATGTGAATTCTACACAGTGTACACACACAATAAACCAATGGAAAAACAACTGCAAATGGGACCCCAGAGAGATCATTCAGCGCTGAAAAGTTCACATTTGTGACACTATAATACTTTTTGAACAATGAACAACTTGATAAAGTCTGGACTTGAACTGAACTCTGGCAGTTCACATCTGAGGTACATGTAAAAGGAATCAGGTGAGTTCTTTTTCCTTCTGCTGTCAAAGATAAATTATTTCTCAGTAGAAACACAGCAGGAACAGTTACAGGAGATAGAACAATAGATTGTGTAATTGATCTGAATTGTCTGGAGGGTTTCTACAGGTCAGTATGGCATGTAGCTCTGTGGCTCTGATGGGCTTTTTCCTGACGAATATTAAGTAACAAGTGTATCTGGTTAAGAATGAAAGAGATAGGTTGGCTTATGCTGGCAAAACAGTCATTAAATTAAAAGACATTAATGAATAATCTAAACAGTATCACCTAAAATGTCTGGATTGAAATGAACAAAGCCTGAAGACATCCACTAGCAAAACAAGTGCATGGGATGGCAAGCAACCTTGAATAATTGGCAGCATTTCACACCACTAGGGAGGATATATGGAAACATTTAGATCCCCTTTAATGAAACTGCATTGCCCTAATGCACTCCATGCAGAATGCATATCAGATTCAGCTCTCCAAGAACATTACCAGTAACCAAAACATCAAAGGCAGCCCTAAAGTGCTGCTGCATGCTGTTGTGCTTTGTGTCCGTGAGGTGGTCTTTGCCATTTCCTCTCACACGGCACTTTGATGTCGAACAGCACACAATATGCTGTGACACTACTCAGGAGGAGGAATAAACTTCCCAGAAGTTGTGCAATCCATAAATAGATAAACAAGGGGGGTGGGGGTGGGGAGAGCCTGATTCCTTTGTGACCCTTCTCATAGCAGTTCAATGTCCTACAAGCTACGGTAAACTGTCCTTTGTGTTTGTGCATTTAATTAGACCCTGTGGCCAGAGAGTATTTGGTTTTCATTAGCACCCCATCGCAATTGCTATGACAGCTGGATCCACCCTCCCTCTATCAACGACCACAACAACCTTGATAACTACAGATTAGGAGCCAAGAGTTAAGAAACAGCTACTCAGTGTTGTCTCATTGTCAGACATGCATGTGCCTGTGGATGGCGCTTTGACAGAGCTTCAGTATTTCACTGTGTATTTAAAAAATGTCTTGTAATGCTGCGCTCTGGAATCAATCATTAAAACATCCTGTTTCCACATGAAATATTCACCTTCTTGGTGATAAATTGCGATGTGGAATGCACACAGCGGGTATACATTATACACAGAACACTATAGTGTAAATACATGTCCATGCATGTTAAAATGCTCTCAGGTTTCCTGCATGGAGGTGAATGCTTGTGAGGCTACCAACCAAAAGAAACAGTGTTTTAGCCAACATTTACAGCTTTTTTGCATCCACTGTAGCTAAACAAGACTACTGACCATATTTGACTACTTCATCCTGGAACACTGTATACTGGATCAGAACACTATACTGTATCTGGAAACAGTACAGGATTTTAAAAAAGGGGGGAAAATCGTGTCTAAGTTACAAAAATCAACAATGACAAAATACATGAGGCCGTGAGCATGAAGTATTAGTCATGCCTAACGGTAAAAGGCTATAACTGATGAGGAACTAGGTAAAACACTGCCAAAGCATCTGCCATCTAGGGCCTCTTTAGGAGAAAAATTGTTACTCAGCCTGTCCAGTCAATTACAAATGAACAAAGAAAAACAACAAGCTCCAAAAAGGAACAAAAACTAGCAAAACCAGTGTAATAAGCACAAAAACAGAGAAAAAGGTCAATAAACCAACCTGCAACTCACCAACCTGACCTTAAATAATTCTCCCAGCACACACCAGTACAGCTTCACGGTACAGTGAAATTCCAGAGGCACCGACCCGTGCAGCCAGGTATCCAGAGCAGCCTCTCCGTGTCGAGGACGTGGTGTTATCTTAAGATCACCAACCACTTGTTTGACACCATCATGAGCATCTGCACCAGTGGCCAAGGGCCGCTGGGTCAAAAACAATAAACTCTGATCAGAGAATGCTTTTAATAATTAACAGGAAGGATAGGATGGCCAGTAATGCCACCAATGCATGGACAAACCAATGGCCATGTTGTTGCACGAAGGGAGGTATCAGTGGAAGACTTGTCAAAGCAGCAGGAAAAGAGACGTTATCCATGCGCGCTCAGGTGGCTTTTCCACTTGGACCAGTTGAATGAAGGAGCTAATTTATCAAGCTTTTATGGTTTTGGGAGGAGGAGTGGGGAGTGGGGGATAAAATATAGCCTACCTGAGATGATGAGTAAAATGTTACAGTGGAAATGTGACACTGTAAATTTGAATGGATGACTGACTGTTAATGTGGAAAAGCTGGTAACAATAAAGAGACAGGTGCATGTGCAGCCATGCTTTGCAGTTCACACAATTCTGCCAGTGTATGAAGCTACAGAGACATGTTTCATTTCTCACTGCAAAAAACTATCTGGAAATTTAGATTATGTCCTAAAAAGCACAGTGATGAAATGGAATGACAGCAAGTTGCTCTGTCCAAGTATTCTAAAAATACTACTCTCAAACAACAGTATCTTTGGCTCAGCTGCTGTGAATAGAGAGCAAAAGCCACAAATGTGTGTGAAGTAAACCTCACACCACACACTGTTTATTTGATTGCAGCTGTTCTTGAGATGCGAGATGAGGAAGAGAGTCTGACCTTGCTGTGAGCGATCTAAACATGTAGAGAAGCTAAATAAACGGCATATCCCAGCCCATCTGGTCGCTGCTCGGAAATGAGATTATCTGGCTGACGCTTGGGAACCAATGGATCCTGTGATCTATGCAGCACTTCACAAACGTGAAATACCACCGGACATGTAATTAAGGAATGTCTATTTCCTCCACAGTAGCTTTAAAAGCATTACACACACTTGACTATATTAGGATTTCAAATAATCTAATGCTATTCCAGGTTCTCTGTCAGATGACCTCTTTGTTCACACTGAGCCTCAGTTTGTGTGTCCATCTCATACAATGAAACATAATACACCACTGTGTCTGCTACAGTACCAACATTACACCGTATCCTAAGGTGACAATCATAGCACTTTTAAGTCCCTGGAAAAACACGACACACAAACGAAACGTATGTTTGAAGCCAATGACATCCTCCTTTCTAAGTCCACAGAGGGATAGGGTTGCTGGTCCCAGGCATCAGAATGGTGAAAACACTGAAATTTAAGCTCATGGATCTTGTAACGAGTTCAGCCTGTGGGCCTTCTACCTGAGCCACTGGAGAGGGGTAACTGATAGGCCCTCAGCTGGTGGTGGCACCGGCTGCGTTCGATGCTGTAGCGGCCCTTGTGCTAATTAGCAGTTCTATTGTTGATGGGAGGATTATTCCTGAAAGGGAGCTCAGCAGCCATACCTTACTGACTCCCTATCACCATCCTCTTCAACCGCTGCTCTCCTCTGTTGGTATATTCATCACTGCAGTCTGGGCTATAGGCAGCGAGCAAAGTGTGATGGTCAGAAACAATGACAGGTCGAAATCTGTGAGGCTTTAGGTTTCAACAACTCCGCTGACAGAGCAGTCCCCATAGGTTCTTTCAGTGTTTCCTATTTAAAACCAACTCCACAAGCTCAAATTTCAGTTCAAATTACTGCTTTGACTCTTAATGGAACATGCAAACCATCACAAACAAGGTGTTAACACTGAAATATTCATCAGTCACATTAGGGAGTGTCATGCTTTCCACACAAAACAAAAGGGTTAACCCCAGAAACTGCTTGGTAGCAAGCTAAGAATGAAGAATCTCCTCTAGCACTCACAGAATCATCACTTATAATGCTTTATTAAACACAAAATCAACCGTCCTCTACTTTCTCTTAAACTGAGAGCAAAGCTGTGTGTGAAAGAGAGCAGCTCTGGAGAGGGACAGGCTTTACCTGACTGAAACACAGTACACGTCACAAATAAATGATACACAGAGGATATAAGATGCTTCTAGTGTTTCTAGCTTTGATTTTCAATGGCTGGGCAGTACTGACATAAAGAGAGGACACAAAGCGGGGAAATGTTCCAAATAAAAACCAAATAAAAACATACTGTATGTGAGACAGGGCTTACATTGTTCTCCATGACACGGAGATATCTGGCACATTCATAGTGTCCGTTGTACTCTGCCAAGTCTGCTGCTGTGAACCCATCAATATCTTGATCTGAGGCATTTGCTTCATTAGCCAACAGAATTTTACAGCACTAAGGGAAGAAATAGGGCAATGCACGCACACAGAAGCAATATGCATCATTTCAGCTTTTTATTTTGATAAGAAATGACAAAACAATGAACAAGTTTCTTCTCACCTCCAGCTCTCCATTCTCTGCAGCATCATGAAGTGGGGTCCCTCCCCAAATATCCTTGATGACCTTTGAACCCATGTGAAATAGCCTCTCCAAGATACAATAATGCCCCCTGCTGGCAGCAAAGTGCAGAGCAGTCGCCCCATCTCTGTCCTGGGAGGACAGGCTGACATCACTACTACCTGCTCAGCAGCAGACAGACAAAGATATTAACTGGGGAACATAGCGGAGCATTTTGCAGCTAAACAGATATTTACCTCAGGAGTTGGAAAAAAAAAAAAAAAAAAAACAGATAAAAAAACAAACACTTTTTCATAATATAACATGATTTTGTGTTTTTCCGCTGACCAGCCACGCCACCACGGCTTCATGGCCCATGTGAGCAGCAGCATGCAGGCAGGTCATGCCATCATGGGCCCTCAGGTGGATGTCGGCCCCGCAGTCCTTCACAAGGTATTCCACCACATGCAGGTGTCCTTCCTGGCAGGCCAGGTACAACAGAGTAGCACCAATAACTGTCTGATGATTCGCACACCTGCAACCCCAACAACAACAGGGGTAGACAAGGTTAGGTTTCCTTTATCAGCCAGTACCATCAGTAATGCACCAGTCTGATATGTAGAAGATTCATCTGCTAAAAACAAGTACAGGAAGTACATATTTACAGTTAAATGCTAAATCTGTAAAGAATATCTTTTAGACTTTTTTTGCAAAATATGTAATTACTACCAGTATTAGTAGTGACGGTAGTAAATAAATGAAACTAAATTAAAGCTCAAATTAAGAAAATGCACAAATAGAAGACAAAGAAAGATCTGTACATATGCTGATCAAGGTTGTCCAATGAAAAAGGCCTGATGACCACGCTTTTACAGTCTTCTGTGGATCTCATGACCCACTGGTGCGTTTAAAATGATGGGCAGAATCTGTAAAGTTCCACAGTGCCAACAGATCCACAACAAAGACAGAAGAGATGGTGTGCAAGGTTGTGTCACTTGCACAAGACTGCCATAATAAAGTGAGAAACAGCATTACCTAGGGAATTGTGTGACACTACTTTAAGGGATGTACCGACTGCATTCCGCACAGTGTATTTCAGCCATGGCAGCAGGGCCCTGACAAACCACAACATGCTTTTTTAGCTTTTATGGTTTATGATATTCCATCACACAGATGGCTGATCTGCAGTAAGAAACATGTGACCAAATATCTTCAACATCAATTCTAATACAAATAACTGTTTACAAGAAGAGGTATTTTGCACTGCTTGTTTCAAAAGCATGAGGATGTTTATTTTTTAATCCTATATCTCAGTTAAAGGAGCACAGATTGAAAAAGGTTTTATTAATTGTCATCCAACAAGCCAGTGCTGGAGCACTGGACACTGCAGGGCTGCGAGCATTTAAAATGACATACTGTACTTTAACAGTCTCAAGGCTGGCATGTGATCGACAGTCTCTAGGCATGTATTATTCACAGGCTGGCCATGGTTGGCTGACCGAGCCAGGTGTCACACAAATTGCATACTCTCCTGAGACAAGGAGGCGAGGCAGGAACACCAGCATATCTTTATGTTGTTCTTATAAGGTGCCACTGTCTCAGGTCTAAGTAACAGAGAACTACCAAAGCCCCCTCACACCCCCAGACCCCCACTCCCCCAAAATCCTTCTCTGCTTTTCTGCATTAACTGTTTATTTGTTAAATTAGTCACAGAACACAAATTTCTTTATGCAGTTCATGAATTTGTTAAGATTCACCCTTGCTATGGTAATGTTTCCGTTAATTGGGGGGGTATTTACATAAAAGGTTGGCTAAAAGCTATAATAGGCTACCTAAACAGTACACAACCCACCTGACTCATTAGTGAAGCATTAATACCATGTGTTGCAATTAAGAGTGTGTGAAAAGCAGCATGCACTGAAGCTGAAATAGCTCAAACTTTCTTAATAGATACTGTGTAAGCAAGCTCAAAGTAGGCTAATCGATGAACAGATCAAACAGTAACATTAAGCTGAAAGCAATGAAGTAACCCAATGGTTGAAATAGGTAAACGTAACATTTATTGATAAATAGGTTAAACTGTTAGCAACAAGTAGTGGATAAGTAGATAAATAAGAGGCTAAAAGTAACACTGACAAATACGTGTTTGAAGTAGTAGGCTGAAAGAAAGTTCATTTAAAAAGTTTAGTTGTGGTTTCATTGAAAGTTTTACTCTAGCTGACCGAATGGTAACCTGAGTAGAAATCAAGTCAAAGCAGATGTATTTAGAAAGAACATTTAAATTAATGAAAAGTTGACCAAAGTGTCAGTGAGGGAGCCATCCTAACATGGTGAGGAGGCTCATTGCACAGCCTGGGGGCTACTGATGAGAACGCACTGTCTCCCCCACTCTTCAGCTTTGTTCATGGGACCACTAGAAGAACCTGGTTGGCCGAGCAAAGAGAGCTGATAGCAGTTAGCTAACCAATTTAATGCTTTACACGTCATTAATAAAATCTTAAAAATTGATCCTAAAGCAAAATAGGAGGAATATGATGTGAGTACCTGTTAAAAGCAAAGCTGCAGCATTTTGAAGAAGATGCAAATGAGCAAGTGAAGACTGACCTTTGACAACAATCTTGACTGGAAAAAACAGTTTTGACAACTGAATAAATCTGTTTATCCAGTCTAAACTTTTAGTCAAAAGTCATGTACAGGGCCCAAAAACCAAGACTTCTGTTTTGTTCATAAGAAAGTTTAAAATCTTTAAGGCTATCAATGATTTAACATGACCAAGGCAATCCAAGAGAGAAGGTTGCAGCTTGCTATGAAGGTGCCCTCTATTAACTATTTTTGCTTTCCATAATTTTTAGGTTTTGTTGAACTTACTGGGCTTTGTGTTTAGTCTCTATTTCTTTCATTGTTTATTTTAATAAATGCCACCATTTAATGCAGCCCCTGCATCAGGTTTAGGGCAGCACATAACTGTCCTTTCTATGGGGTGGTAGCACTGTAGGTACTTAAGCATTGTCAGTCTGTGCCCACATCATAAACAGATCCTTTCTGATATTCAGGTGTAGCCTCATTATTGGTGTCTGAAAAAGTCACCATAAAAGCTAAGCTATTTTCTCCAGTGATCTGTCAAAGAACAGATATAGGTACAGTAGCACTGGTGAAAGCAAGGGCTATAGTTACCCAGGGGCCTGCTGAATGAGTAGTTTCAAACAGGTGAGGTCCCCATTGGCTGCAGCGTAGTGAGCAGGAACAGCTCCACCATTTGTCTCTGCTTCTGCTGCTCCTCCCACAGAAAGCAGCCACTTAATGACGTCCACACAACCGAACCGGGCTGCGAGGTGGAGCGCAGTGGCACCAGAAGCATCCCTATCCTGGAGACATTCAGAGAGATCAGATTTAGATAGTGTTAATGTAGATGAAATGAAATCCACTATGTGTATACAGGTAAATACTTATCAAGACACACCAAAAGGGATTTGTTACTCACTCATACAGCATAAGACACAAAATACAAAGAGGCACAGTTCTTCTCCATTAGGAATCAATAGAAACAATCAGATGAAACATAAGATACTGTATGCTCTTTAGTTTTAGGCAGGATTCTGCAGATTCAATGATAATTCTGAGACAAAAGATGTAGGTAAACTTCACTCCACAAACAATAGTTTAATAATAGGTTTAGTAGGAACTCCCGTCAAACATCTGGATATAATTACACTTAGTACATAATACTAAAGGATCCACAGTTAGTCAACACCATACAGATGTGGCTAAATGGGCTAAACACTTACATCTTACTGCTATAGAGCAGAACTCTTGCTCTTTCTATAAAGATCGGTTAAATAAAGAAACGTTCTCACTGTGCTGTATTGTTGTGTGCACCACACTAAACATGGACAGCAGAAAGAATAAAGGAGAGTTGCCTGAGGAAAAAATATGGATGTTCCTGTGACCACAGTTGCAATTATTATTAAGACGTTTAAGGTCCATGGACCAAAGCCAACCACCCTGCAAGAGACAGATTGAGCCCAGATTAAACAGGAGAGTTTGAATGGTGGAAAATGAACTAAGGAAAACTTCAGAGCAAATACAAGCTGACCTCCAGGACTGGTGTCTAGTTGCGCCACATGTTGCCCTCTGAAAGAAAGTGGGCTCCATGGAAGAAGGCCCAGGAACAACCCATTTTTTCAAAGACACATAAAGAACTGTTAGTGGAATTTGGTAAAATGTTCACAAGTCTCAATGTTTACGGAAGAACGTCCTTTGGACAAAGACCAAATGAGCTAAGTCACATCAACTCTGTGCTCCCAGCAAAAATCTTTCAAAGCAAGTAACACTGGGACAGTGTTATTTGCTTTGAAAGATTTTTTTACTGTGAAACTTGGTTACGTTATGGGGCCGTGTTGCTGCACCTACTGCAGGGTGCTTTGGACCTGTGTGGCCACGATGAAATCAGTTGTAGGTCATGGTGTCTCCAACAGGTAACCCAATTAATGATGCAATGCATGATGTAAACAGCTTGTCATACAATCATGTAACTTGCACTCTGGGATCAGTCATATGACACTTCAATAAGCACAGCCTAAATTTTGATTCGTAAAATTGAGTTGGCAGAAATTACCAGGAAAGCTGTGACATCTCTCCAAGGCTCTCTGGTTACGTTTCAGTGTGTGTGAGCATGTAGAAAGATTTTTCTCAATAGATAAGCTTACCTCAGTGCTGCAGCCTCCTTGCTCCACCAGCCATTGCAGCTCCTGGATGTGGCCAGTAGCTGCTGCATCATGTGCTGGTGAGGCCCTGTTTAAGGCCCGGAGATCAGCCGCCAGACCCATCTCACTCACCAGGAACTGCAGGCACTCCAGACGTCCACACCTGGCTGCGTGGTGCACCAGGCCGGCACCTTGAGCATCAGCGATGCTTGGTGAGAGATGACCACAAGATGCCAACACCCTCAGAGTTACGAGATCCCCTGCTCGAGCCGCCTGGATGGCCAGATGAAGCACCATCCCTGGATGCTACGAGTAGGTAATGGCACACAGAACAAGCTCCTTGGAGCTTTTTGGATCCCTGCAGCTTGCCATCACACTCTCACATGCAATAACTCCCATACAACAATATACAAGTTGTTGCCTCTTACTGGGCCGGGAAAGTGACACCCTAGCATCAGCCAGCTGGCAAGCACGGCGGCTGGGGAGAGAGGAGGAGGTCAGAGCCGGCAAGATGGAAAGGTAATGAAAGACGGGTGAAGGCACAGCACTCTTGTTTTACTTTGTGTGGCGGTGACCATATGCTAACACACATCCATGCTTCACTGGAGATGGGGGAGCTGAGGCGGCATGGAAACTTAAGTAATGGGAGAAGTCAGAGCCAAGACATGGTGGATTATATGAGCAGTGTTTTTTTTGTTTTTGTTTTTTTTTTTTACAAGTAAAATTAGTCATTTGTGTGGGCATGAATAAACAGCTGATAAATCTGCCAGACTGTTATCTACACAGAATATTTAACTTCTGATTTAATCTGTGAGAAAATGCAAAATGTGAATATTTTATTTCACTGACACTCATACTGTACTGTACATGTCGTCCTGACTCCAATTAGCTGATTAGCTACTCACATGACATGATGGAAGCTGAGAACATGCATCTCTCCATAACATCGCCCCTCAGGTCACTTCAAGTTCTTCCCTTTTTTTATTTGTTAAATATTTCCTCCATCTGACATGCTCAGTTAATGTAACATTAAGCATATGGGGTGCATTTTTAATTCTGTACATTCTTATTTGGCCTACAGGGTAACTCTGCTTTGAAGCCATCAGTTCATTTCTTCCAACAGTTGCACAGTTTCCCTCAGATCCTCCACAACTGCATCCACATCTTCTTTGGTCGTGCCTCTGCCCACGCTCAGCCTCAAAGCATTAGCTGCCACCTGTGTGGGGACTCCGCAGCTCAGAAGGATATGGGAAGGCCTGACGGACAGACACGCATCAGCGGATGAGGAGTTATAGTATGTAACTGTGATCAATATGGTGTCTGGTCCAAAACATAACAGGCAAAAAGAGTCCCTCTTTTTTTACCTGTTTCCACTGCCTGAGTGGCAGGCGGCGCCGACGCTGGCCAACAGCCTCCTACAACTGGACAATACCCTCCAGCCTAAATCAGGAGACAGAGCGAGATTAATCATTCAAAGCCTCTGTAGTTTACAAACAGCCTTGTGCAGGTCATGAACTGCCTCTGACAAACAGTGGTGTAGGGTTAGAGGACACTGCTTAGACTGGCAGGCCAGAGCACACGTAGGACAGAGACGGGTGACACCACCTTGTAATGTCGGGCCCAGGATGGACATGTTACAAGTGTTAGGGAGGATGTCCGAGCCAGGGTAATGGCTGTTGAAGTGGATCTTATCTTTGAAGATGGCCTAAGAGGAAAAATACAGTACCGATGGTCAGCTACTGAATGTATGAGCAGGAGATTAATATTTAAAGTCAGTGAACAAAAAGCCATTACAGCAACAGAGTAGCCATTTACAACCATCCCAATAATACTGTGACAGACCTACCTGCAGTCGTTCTTCCAAGTAAAGTTTGGTACTTCGCATATGACTCTCATAATCTGACAGATTAGAGGTCACCAGCTCTGCAGCCTAACACAGACACACAATAAATCAAATACTAAAAGAATAAAAACAGCACCAGTTTCATTTGTATGTCTTTAAACACTTTAAAATACTCTACAGTAAGCACTTTGTAACTCACTTTGGGTAAGTTCCACATATGGTAAATACATAAGGCATAGAAGAAATATGGTTTGTAGAATTTAATACGTTTAAAAAACAAACATAGTAACTGACACAAACTGTGTCACCAGAATATTTTTCTTCAGACTGTGACTAGTGCAGTGACTAAGTGACAAATAGAAGTTGCTGTTTAGACCTTACTGAGGTGGTGACTACAATGATAATATATCACAGTGCATTCAGCTCTAATACTTAGCTATATCTGGCGCCTTGGGGCGGAGCACGCTGCCAGTGCCCTCCCTGTCTTTATTATTTATTTACTCCTATTGATTTATTTACACCCACACATACACAAACCACAGGTAAAACCACATGGATACTGATTATACCCCTATGTTTGTTTGGAAATGACTTCCAGTTTGCTGTCTTGTTAATGTGCATGTTTTGTGTGACAAAAACAAACAAACAAAAACCATGTGCAACCAGTTAGACCCTCACCTAACTGGTTGCACATATTGTTTTTATTCTTTGCATTAACACTTTTCTGTCTCAATTCAACCACACTATGTGGTGTTGCAGTCTAATGATGACCACAGGCTACATCACAGTCTTATCTTCATGTGTTTTCATGTCATTTATTCTGTCCATCTCTTACTGTAGTCCTGCAATTCGGTAATGGAGAAGTTTCCGGTACCAATTTCATGTTAAGGCACTCTTTTTATATAGTTGTAACTAACAACTTTATTAAATCATTAGTCAACTACTAATGCATTATGGATCAGTTAGAAACCATGAGTATGAACTCATTTTGGGTTGCCAGGTTGTGAAATATCCCTGAGACTGATCAAACCATCCAGAAGAGCTTTGCAGAGGACCTTGACCAAAAATCATTTATTAAGTATTTATTAAACGATTACCAACAGTTATAACCACATGATTACACCAGTGAAAGGATGTCTTACAACCTGGGAACCCAATGTCTGCTCATATTAGCGGCACATAATTATCTAGAAGCATAATCAAATAATTCATCAACTATTAATAAGGATATAAGTTACAACCTATCAACCTCTGGTGCCTTGTTAGTAAGTGGTAACAAAATTCCATGTAGAGAAACAAGTCATTTTACTAGTTAATTCAACGTACAAGAAACCAAATGTCAGTAGTCTGTTCAGATATCACTTTCAACACTGTAACTAACAGCAAAACCACTTTGACAGTAACTCAAATAACTGAGAACCAAATATTATTCACAGTATACGTCACAAGAAATACACAAAAGACCTTAAAAAGCAGGCCTACTGTAGTAATAATCCCAGTAACACACATATATAGGGCAGGAAACAAACCTTTCCCAGACCAGCAATCATCGGTGTGTTTTCAGTGCTGTAATATTCAGAAAGGAAAAAAAATCAGATGCTAGTATGTATGTGCGCACCTCTGTTCTTGACTAGCATTTAATATATGTTTGATATTTTCTTGATTAATCCTACAAGTCAAACAATGTAGTTTGTTACCCAGGTCTGAAGTTTCGCTCCTGTCCTCCTCCAAACAGCATCGCATACAACGGTGTTCTCGTTCCAGGGCCATTCACATACAGAGCACCAATCCGAGGGGCATAAAACTAGAAAAGTAACGAAACCTGTCAGTAGTACTGTATGTTTTCCCATTTTCTTTCACGTGTCATTTCATTTTATACAACAGGTTCCTGACCTTGTGTCCCACTATGGTAAGGTAATCTATGCCCAGTTCACAGGCATCTACTCGGACTTTCCCCAAAGCCTGGGCAGCATCAGTGTGGAGCAGGATCCTGAGCCGCTCCCGCTGCTTGTTGAGAGAATTTATCCTCTGGCAGATCTCTTGGACTGGCTGACAACAGGAAGGTGTTTCAGCACACAGGGGGCATAGGACCCTACTGTACATACTGCTTTTTGTCTTTACCTTGAAAGCGGATTTAAAAATTCACATTTCATATAGAGTACAGTACAAGCATATATACTTTATATGCTAATGCATCCATCTGCTTCATCAGCACCAATTCCTCCGTTGAAAATGGACTGGTTGTTCTAGTGTAATATCAATTTAGATATTGAAAACATAGAATTTCTCTGTTATCAGCACTGTAAAAAGATGCACTCATAGAAAATGCCATCAGGTGTCCAAACCTGTATGTCCTCTTACCATGATGACTCCTGTCTCATTGTTGGCCAGCATTATAGAGATCAAACAAGTGTTGGGACGCACCACAGCAATGACATCCTCCACCTCCACACGGGCTGTCACCTTAGATACAGGCACAAATGTCACATCTGTGGCAAACACACAGTTAACCAAATGAGTGAAAAAAATGAAGTAGATGTAAGATACGCTTTTTAGGTGTTAGGTGTTGGGCAGTTCCCCCAATAATATGAAAATAGCAAAGGTTATTCCACTGTATAAATCTGGTGATAAGCACAACTTCACAAATTATAGACCGGTTGTCACAATTTTCAAAAATTCTGGAAAAACTCTTTAATAACAGATTAGATACATTTATTGACAAACATAAAATCCTCTCTGATTGCCAATATGGTTTTAGGTCGAACCGATCGACATCTTTGGCCATTACCGACCTGATGGAGGACATTACAAGTGCTATGGATGAGAAGAAATACACGGTGGGAATATTTGTTGACCTAAAAAAAGCATTTGACACAATCAATCATGAATTATTAATGGACAAGTTAGAAACGTCAATTTGTGAGGTTGGGTGAATACCAATCGTGTGAGCTGGATATTGTATGTGGAGTGCCTCAGGGTTGTGTTTTGGGACCTAAATTATTTATATTATACATTAATGATATATGCAAGGTTTCTGATTTAGTGAAAGTGGTTTTGTTTGCTGATGACACTACCATATGGGCATCGGGTGAAAACCTACAGCAACTCTCTGGACTGGTTTCACAGGAACTTGAGAAGATAAAGAAATGGTGTGATAGTAATATACTATCTCTGAATTTGGATAGAACTAAATTTATGGTATTTGGGAATCGCAGGTTAGACAATGAAATTCAGTTGAATATTGAGGGAGCTAAAATAGAACGAGTACATGAAATTAAATTTCTAGGTGTCATAGTTGATGACAAATTCTCCTGGAAATCGCATATTAGATATGTTCAGAATAAAATAGCAAAAAATATATTGATATTGGCAAGGGTTAGATATATTTTGGACGGGAAAGCACTACGTATTTTGTATTCTTCATTGATTTTACCATACTTAGAGTATGGCGTTGAAAACTGGGGAAATACATACAAAAGCTCACTTCAACCATTGTATATATTACAAAAAAGAGCGATAAGAATTGTGCATAAGATGGGGTATAGGGATCACACCAATGGAGCTTTCATACAGTCTAAATTGTTAAACTTTTTTGATTTAGTTGGATATAAGACTGCAGTGTTTATGTATAAAGCCAGGAGCAATTTATTACCTGGTGGAATTCAAAAACTATTTAATGAAAGGGAAGGGGGATACAATTTAAGGGGTCAGTTAAATTTAAAAATTCATGCTATACGTACAACCAAAAAAAGATTTTGTATTTCCATAAGTGGGGTAAAACTATGGAATAATTTAAGTGTGGACATAAAAAATAGTAATAGAATTGATGAGTTTAAACATAAATATAAAGGTATGTGTCAATCAAGATATATGCAAGAACAGGCTCAATGATTAATTAGATGGAACATTGTGGGTGTGGGGTATGAATGTTAGTCTGACTTCTTCCTACTCCATTCAAGCATGTACTAGGTATAAGCAAATTGATATTGGATTAGCATTTGTTGGATATGTGTAAAATTATGTCTTTCTTTACATGCTTGAAAGAATAAATAAATCAAATCAAATCAAAAGTCTGTTCATCTCATCCTACCTGCTGTGCCATCTCTCTGCAGCTGCTCTGCTGCTAGTTTGACTGAGTCATGCTCCACATTAGAAGTGATAATGTGAGGAAGGTCAGTGCATCCATTTTGGTGCCCTTCACCTTGCTCTGCCGCCCTGCGGGTTCTCCTGAAGTGCTCTACAGCAGTGTGGAGCACCAGGTTATTGGCCTGAAAGGAGATGAGTCAGCAATGAGCCACAGCTGCATGGATGATACTATTAATATTTGTCTATTACCATACAAACTGCACAGACCTTTCAAAATCTGAGAACTACAGAATGAGAACATAAACGTTGTTACCTCTGTTCCACCTGAGGTGAATATGATGTCCTCTGCTGCACCCCCAACCATTCTTGCCACATTCTCTCTGGACTGATTAATGATCGCCTTGGCCTTGGCACCTACAGTTGATAAGATGTTCAGTGGAAAAAGATTTTTTTGATAAAGGTTCCATAAAAACAGAAACAAAAAACTTTTACCCAGTACCCTGAGAAAGCAAATTAAGGAAAAGCAACATTAGCCCAGTTTGCATTTCCTACTCACATTAAAATAGTGATTTAATAACTTTTAAATTCAGGATAAAGTGTTCTTCACCTGCTATATAGCTGCTACTCGGGTTTCCCCAGGCATCCTTCAAGGCTTCAGTAATGGCCTGGATCACTTCTGGTTCCAGTGGAGTAGTAGCATTGTAGTCCATGTAGATCCTGTTACATAGAGTACATGAGGGGAAAACATTCATCTTGTTCCATGTACTGCATTAAGCCTACTGTACTTGTATATGATACAGCACAGTAACAAAAGATAATGAGCATTCAAAATGTTCATTCTAATTTTGCATTTATTTAGTTTGACATTTAATTTGATTCAGAGTGAAATAGTGGCTGACATGACATGACATGACCACCCCAAATCAAACCTACCTGTCTAGAGTCATTTCTGAAGAATGGTGAGAGGTCTGACCTGTGAAGCTGTGTCCCTTTACCGAGGTGATGGCATCACTTTGCTTTGCCATAGCCCTAAGAAGAAATGAGAAACTAGGATGTGTGTGCAGATGTGTTCCAGTAAATCTTCTAGCACCTTTTAAATTACTAAGTGTTTTATTTATCTGAACAACACTTCAACAGCTTTGATCGCAATGTCTTCTGAAAGCTGAACCTATCACTTTATTAGAGAAGTAACGTTATTATTCCCAGAATCGTGAGTGACTGCAGACCCAAAGGCAGTAACCGAAGCGACAACGTTGATGAGACAACTGCAATGTCTTCAAGTCAGATTATGGCTGTTAGTAAGCAGTATACAATGTCAGCGGGGCTTCTCAGAGAACCCAGAGGCTTATTAACTACACATTTAGTGTATATACGGTCTTCCCCGAAGTCCACTCTGTCAGCAGCATGCATGACTCGGAACGTTATTTACGTTAAATATCTGGTAGCTTCCGGATACCGACGTTATTTTACGTTCTTACGGTTACTTAAAATTTACACGGGAACATCAAAACAACCTGCCTCATCCCTGGCAATATTTGTCAGACCGAGTTTATATCTAGCTAGCAACGCTCAGTTAACGTTACTATAGCCTAAGTAACGTCTGCTAACTTTAGCTTAAGCTAGCTAGTGCTGCTAATAATTGTTAGCTATATGATATTTAACTAGATATTAATCTTTCAGGCTTTCGGAACAGTCACATTTGTTCCCCCTTCGTAGGAAAAGACAGGCTGAATTTCATGGCTTTGTGTCCAACCTTGTGAAGTGATGTAAAGGTGTCCTGAACAGATTTACGACGTAGCGTGCCAATCATTAGCTAGCTACAGTTTCGTGTGGCTGAAGAGCTACTCAACTGGGTTGCCAGGTAACACCCCAACACAATTTATAAAGTATGAGATCAATGTTACTATATGTGGTGTGTTTATTATATGAATTCGATTAATTTACAATTTAAGTGCATTTGATTTTACTTATATTCTAAATTTATAGACCGCTCAGGGTTATCTGAGGGTTTGTTTGTTGAGTTTTTGTTACCTTAAAACTATAGAAGTGTATTGTCAACACTTCCAAAACGCTGGCGTACGGACATGGCAACTCTGATTTCTGCTGCCATTGTAACAACTGTGACGTACAGGCAACTAAACTTTAGCGTGTGCCTACTTTTAGTTCTGTACAAAAGTCAAAGTTATGCTGTGTACCATCTGATGCATACATAAAACACTGGGATAAAACCTTAGTTGTGTATTTTACACAAAAACTAAGAAAGAGGAGTCTGTTACTTTGTCTTGCATAATCTCCATGTTTATTTAATATATGACAATGTGTTTAGTGTTCACAAACATTTGACGCTAAACTCCAACACTCAGAGACACTGAACAACATCCCATTTGATTTTCTAAATGGGTGCAACTTTATAATATCCTGTGCACAGCAATGATATTTATGTACAATGCAAAACAATTTGATAGTGCCAAAAAAGATTAGATGTGGAAGCACAAAAATGTACATGATATTCCTTCATAGAGGGGGATTAGAAAAAGTAGGATTTGTGAATGTGCCAGAGCATCGTGGTGAAGGTAGATACTGAAAGAAGAGTGACAGTAAGGTAACCTAAAGCATTACTCTGTACAAGATGCAATGCCTAACAGGGCCAGAATGATCCAATAACATCATCTCACACATCAGTGGACAGATTATTACAGGTGTGTCCCACTACCTCTATATGGTTCCCTGATAATAATCTACTTACAGTACAATTAAGAAAGAACCAGACTATAGCTTCAGGAGACAAGTCAATGCAACCCCTCCAGCAAAATATATTCAATGTACATTCAGTGTGATTTTTTTTTTTTTTTTGACTGCACCGACAAAACTTTGGTTGGCTCAAATGACACACATTAAAATGATTTAGGAAAACAAGATGAATAATCTCAGCATAGAGATCAGACTGGAGCAATCCTGGCCTCAGGTTTTAAGACTGGGATTTAAAACAAATGAGACAGAAATGGCTGCTTGCACAGTGTAATGTACAGTACAACAGGGTTTTCACATCTATGATGATGCCATAGCTGGATAAAACACAACTGCAGTGTCTGCTGAGAAAGTCTGTGATTGACTCAGGTCACGCATTTTTACTAAAAAAAAACAAACAAACAAAAGATATTAGACTTCTGACTGTTAACAACCCCTACTTACACATACAGTACTTACATATTGGGTTGTAAAATGTTTTGAATAAATCCACAGCATATATAACTCCCAAAGCTCAGGAAAAATGCTTATAGTAGTACTGTAAGGATTACATCGGCAACAAAGATAAAAAAACATACTGAGCTGCTGTTATGGTAAAGCCTTGCAGTCTTTTGTAAAGGTTTAATGCTTTGTGATACTGTCCTAGTATTTAAGTGAAGTCTCTTGACTGTCATGGAGCATGCTCTCTAGGCTGGCTGACCTAAGGCATGCTCATCAAGCATCAATCAAGCAGCATACTGCACTGTGTCTATAGTCTGTCGCTGTGTGAAAAGATTCTGTATCAATTTGGATGAAACACTATAGAAAATGCACAGTGGCAGTTTTGACATAAAATAAACTGAGTACAGTTTTACAGCTTCCACTTGGACACTGTCAACAGCATTGATGTGAAATTGTTATTCAAAACACAGATCAAGGTTTTTTTAATCTAGGGACATAAAGTACACTCTGTAGTATACAGCATCTGATTGGCGGATTAGAAACATAATGTTATCTTAACTAAAACCTGATGATAATGATTAAAAGCAGGAAAGGGTCGATATAATCTGCAGACACTAGCAGAACAGTATTATAGCAGCATGTAGAATGTAGCATCAAAGCAAGTGGTGCAGAGACATACTGTGCAGTATGACTAAAAAGAGAGGCACTACATTTAATCAATATACATATCATTCAGAACGCCATTTCTCATTCTGTCCTGTGAGGAACAGCTCAATGCGTAGCTTTGTGCAGTTGAGAATGGACAGATCACCCTAATGCTCTTTACTGACAGTACAGTGATCATGTCAGATGCATGTTAGTTGGGTCAGGTGCGACTATCCTGCAGGGGATAGTAGCATACTGTTCATGTATTTTCAGCACAAAGAAACCAGCCAGTCACAGATTTATTACATTGTTTCATTAGCATTAACTGCATGGGGACAAGGTTGTACTATTCAAACATTTAGGGAACTCATATTAAAAAAGTGCAGTGTGCAGAAATTGCACCGTACTACTACTTTAGAAATATAAATGTCTTTGTAAATAAATACGTGCAGAAATAAATAATACAGCTGTTAAATATCTGAATATATCACATTTTAAACCAAACAAAATTCAGGTAGATAATGAGATTAAACTAGGACAATAAATGGGATGATATTTGACTCTTGAACATGTGAATGTAGATGCCCTCAATGCTCCAACAGGTAGCTAAAATTACATGGATTTATCAAAATGCCAGAAAAAACATGAAGTTTATGATCATATGCCATTCCCCCGCCAAGCTGCTTGTGCTAAAGTTTCTAAGAAGTTTTAGGAATAGGAGGCAAATTAGTCAATGTCAGGATTCAGAAAGAACAGAGATGGAGTTACCCTTGACTGTCATTTTTTTCTTTTAGCAACTATTTTCTTGCTGTGCGTTGTTTGCAAATCAGTTCAGACGCAGTACATATAGCTGTAGAGAAGAATCTGCATGTTTGTCTATTTACTGATGCAAATGTAGCAATGTAATCCTCACTGACTTGGCAGTCTTAGCTAAAGATAAATGTCACTGCATTTTAATAGGAAATAAATGTATAAGGCTTTATGTGTCCGACAACAACTACAGTACATTACCATACGTATATAGTCTGAGATAAGAATCTGTTGCTACTTCCTCCTTTTTCTTCATTCGTCCAGCTATGTATAAACTCCAGTACAGTACAGTGACAACTTTTTGAAAAGGTTCTTCAGCCTACGAGACTCACACTGCAGCAAAAGCCTAACATGAAATGGGTGAATTGGACACTAGTGATAAACTGAAAATGTATAGGGGAAAGATGGTTGTTGGTGACAGAGGTGGTGGGGCAGGGCTCAGCACAGGGGGAGGGATAAGGACAAGGATCTATATACAGTTTAGTCTTTGCGATCATCCTTCTCTCATGAGATTTCCTCAGAGTCTTGTTTCACATCCTCAGTGGTCCTGCTCGTCTTCTCGACAGCTTTGACCTGAGAGGCAGAAGAAAAAAATATGTAAAGATATGTTTCCAGCTCCAAATTTTTACTTTTGCCTATCAAAGTCATTTTTACCTGATTGTTCCAGCAAGGAGAGGATTAAATGCATACAGCCAGTCATGCATCTCTTTGTCATTAGTGGCTTGAAGCAATATTCCACGATGTTCTGTACACACAGCAAATGTGTTTGGGGTCTGTTGAAACAAAAAAATGCCGATTAGAGCACATATTTTCACTACTAAGAGAGCAAGAAGAGGACGTTTCAGGGAGTTTGGTAAATCACCTACCTTCAGCATTGCCTGCTGGTCTTCACTGTACTCCACCTGGGCTGAGGAGAGATTGAGAATAGCTCGCTCCACAGCGTCTCTTTCTGTGTTGTAGATATAGACGTATGGCCGCCGCACAACGACATAGCGCTTCACCCACCCGTTGGTGTGTGGCTCCAAGAAATGTATATAACCCTTCTTTGACACAATGGGGCTGAAAAGCAGATTTCAAACATTACCATCCATGAAATCAGGAAGTTGTTTCCACAGCTCAAAGTGACGACGGTTTTGGAGGTACTGTAGTGGACTCACCTGACTCTAATCTCTTGGATATCAGGGACATATTTATGGGTTCGAGGTTTTGTTGTGTGTCAGGGCTGGGGCTGACAGCACAAGAGCGAGGTGTAGGTGGTCTGTACAAAAAGAATTGGCTTTTGAGCCCTAGTAATTACACAGCTGCCTATGCCTCATGGAACCAAAGTACTTGGCAATAAATGAGCAACATTGCCACCCCCAGTGCCTCATGTTTAACTACCAAACATACCAAAAGGAATACAGTCTGCAAAATAGAAACATTGGCTAATACATACTGCCGCATACACACACAGCAAAGGCTACAGTACCATGGTTACCAGTGAAAGCAATTCATACAAAACAATACCACAAGTATGTCTTAGGACTGACCTGAGTTCAGCATTGTCATAGAAACCCTCAATTAGTGAAGGGCATGTTGAGGAGGGTGCGATTGTGTTGAGAGCAGAGATCGAAGTGGAGTCTCTTAGTGTTGTGACAGACATCTCTGAGATCTGTAACACAAACACACAGTTGTATGCTGGATCAACTGTAAGGAAACAATCACCACACACTAATCAGATTTTCTTCATTTATAAGTTTAAATAGGAGTCTTCTAAGTGCTACCTTGCTTTCACTTGCGCTGACACACACATGGCTGTATTCTCTGTTAAAGGAGTGAGTGAGCAGCCGCAAACACTGTGGAAAAAGGGCAGAGAACCTAAAATGTCTGTTGATGTAAGCACTCTGACTATATTTCCATGCATACATGTTCATATACACTTCCACCTGTCATGAAGGAGATCACAAAACAGGGCAAATTCTGGCAACAATATGACTGTAAAAGTCAAACCTGAAGATGCATATTCACAAAGTAAGAACTGTGAGTGTGGACAGTTGTCTGTCTCTGTGTCCTCTACCATATAAGTGGTGTGGCTCAGGGATGGACGGGCAAAGTAACTGTGGCTGACCTTGGTAGCAAGCTCCCTCTGCCTCTCAGTAGTGATTTCAGTGCTGGAGCTGGCCTCCTGGTCCACCTCAGGGGGCTGAGGAGACTCACTCAGCTCCTCTGTGACACAGGACTGCAGGAACTCCTCACCCATGAGTAGGGTGGACTCCAGTTTCTCCCTCAACAAGAGATAATGCTTGGTCTTCTCTACCTGAAGGAGGAGGGGGGGGGGACGTCACAGTCACTGATAACAGACTATGTCTATTGCTTAAACTTAGAGAAAGTTGTGTGCAAGCAACATTTGGTAGTGTCAAACTGTTTAACTGAGAAATTCATTGTTATTGCTCTGCTGGTAGCACAGAGTTTTATGGACTGTATTTGTTAAACTGGGGAACTTTCTAATTCAGCTCCTTGACATAATTATGTAAACTCAGTGCCTTCCATGTCTCAGAGTTTTCTGCAGTTACATAACAACAATAACTGTTTTGACAACAAGTAACACCTTCCAAGTTTTACATCAGCACCTATGTTCCCTGGCTTCTCACGGAGAGTTGAGGTAACACTGCATTGTTACTAGGTCATCTTAGAAAATGTTCTAAAATTAACTTTTTTAACTTCAAAAAACATGATCTTTTCCTTAAAGCAAGGACTTTCATAACAGTATGCTTAGATTAATTTATGGTGAAGGCAGGTAAACGCAGCACAGACACAGGTACGGACATTTTGCTACAAAGCCCTACTGTGAACACACCATATCTGTGTAAAACAGTGCATTTCATAGGTACAGTAAATTACATCTAAATCAGGGGCTGAATCCAATTTAGCAATGTGGGAAAAAGATCAAGTCCCCATTCAAGTTATAGATGAGTTAGAGGCACACATTTCTGTACTTGCACATTCAGCAAATGAGGGCCAATATCATGTCTTCTGGTGTTAATAAAGTAACTTATGCTTTAAAAGACAGGTAACATATGCCCCTCACATCTTGAAGGAGGCTGAGTTTCTCCAGTTCCCATTGGTGGTCCAGAATGAGGCTGTCACTGCGGGGCCTCCACCCAGCCAGGTTCTCTTCCCCACGGACGTAGGCCACTGAGGTGTCCAGCACCCGCCTGCGTCTCCTCTGCATACCTGTGGAGGAACAGGTGCAGGATTAGAGATGCTGCAGAAGTATAAGATTAATAAGCAATGGTAACTTTGTCTTGACCCCCACCTGGGCTTCCAGCATCTGCCAGGTTACATAAGCTGACTTCATAAACTCCGGTTACACGGTTTCTAAAAAAAAAAAAAAAGAATAAAAAGCATTTTTAGAAGAGAATGCAAGATGCTACATGGTGTTTTTCATCATTCAAATTGTCAAACTCACCCATCTGCTGCTCTCAGGCTTCCAGTACCAAAAAGGTTGCGAATAGAGCGGGAGGCTGAGAGCTTTGTGTCCCGAGAGTAAAACACCATGCAGATATCTTTGGTTATGACTGCAGGCTGGGTGCAGTTTTCCATCTGCAATTGATAGAGAGTGGAGGATTTTCGGACATTGTTCATATAGTAATTTGCGCATCACCACTGATACTGTATGAGTTACAGTATTTCTGTCTCTCATGAATGCACTATACTGTACCTCCAGATAGGCTGAGAGGGTCATGTAGATTTTTTCCCCATGTGGAGTGACTCGATTTAGAAGCAAAGAATTGTGCATGGAGCTATCCCAAGCGGCCTCAAACCGGTAGAAGGTCCTGAGGTGATTTGTTGGATAAGAAGGCAAGAAAATCAACTTAGCAGTCAAAATGTAAGCAACACATCAGCAGTCACAGCTAAACTCATACTAAAGTCTGTCAATCTTACAATACAGATGTCAACAGAAAAATCAGGAGAAATCAAAACAACTTCATAATCAAAAAATACTTAACAATGTGCATTAAGTTTGATTTGATACACTGAGAATAATCTGTCTGATTTGTTAAAAACAGTTATAGTCAATTTACTGTTGGCATTGTACAGTATTTAAACATTTTAGTGAGTATTCCACAAAAGCTCAGTGCAAAAAAGTGCTAATGAAATCTGTTTGCATGCAGCAGGCTCACTGAGTTGATGTTCTGCCTTGTACAAAACACCAAAAAAAAAGAGAAGTGAGATGACTATTAGCACAGAAAAAAGAGAAGGGCGGATGACAGACAGCCAGATGAATGAGGGACAGGGTAGTGAAATACCTATGGTCAACTCCCAAGGAAATGCTGTGAGAAAGAAGAAATCAGCAAAAGAATAGAAAGTGAGAATCAGGAAGTAAAATGTGGATGTGCGCTTGTGTAGCTGGGATGGTGTTTGTCTTATTTCACACTGTTATCTCATTGTGTAAACACTGCTATGGATGGAACAGCTCACCCATTAACAGACAAGTTGAGAAATCCCGTGTACGGTTCTGATCAAGCTGATGCAATCTCTCTTTCTGCTTTACCATTGCAACGGTCAAATAACAGCACACAACCACTCCTCCAGCAAGACAATACTGCTTTCTGTTACGCCTCTGATTTACTCCATACGTTAATGTACACAATTTTTTTCCATTTCCCAATTCATAATCACACACTGAAACCAGTTTTTCTTTTGGCCCGCAGCCCGGCACAGCCTTAAATCTAAAAAAGATAATCCAAGCAAGAACTGTAAAAGGAAACTAATGTTTCTGTAAGTCATAAAAATGCCTGAATCGACTCTTCATGAGGTTCAGATGTTGGGCCCAACTGGCCTTGGACTGAGGTGACCTTGTGGGAAAGTGAACAATATGACACCCAGAAGAAAGCAAACAACCTGTATGAAAGAGAACTGACTGCTCCTCTGTGAGTTATGGGGTGTCAGTGCAGAAATGGTCTGTTTTTAAAGCAATCAGCAAGAGCATTAACACGCGCACTCGTACACATCATACATGCATACACACACTGCGTTCCCAGTAGAAGAAAACTGTTTACTTACGCGCCAATAAGGAGTTTCCTCTTTGCACTATACATCATGTGCTTTTCTACATTTCACTACCACCTAAAGCCAGGACTGAAGTCATGCTGCTGGCATAACATGTCAGCAGCCGGTTGTTTCTGAGTTTCAGTGAGGTACACACAGGATTTAAAAATATTCACAACACTGCAGCAATTTTGGGCAAAGTGCTACTGGTGAGGTAATCACATGATTACATTTTAATAGCTGCATTTGGATATTGTGCCAGAGTGGGTACTGTAAATTATGAAATATATACTTGTACTTGAGTAATAGTGGATGACTGGCGTTCCCCTTAATACTCTAGCTATGGTGAGAGGCACGCTAACAAAAACATATCCATGGATTCAAAATACTGTTTCACTGTAAAGATCAGCAATGTAAAAATAATGAACAGAGTGGAGAGAGGCAAGTGGGAAAAATACCATTTTTAAGCATTTTATGAGTGTTCTTCCTAAGAACGCATCTCTCCTTCCATCCGGTGTTGTTTCAACCCTGATGTAATAATGGGTCACTACCACTCTAATGGCTGTAGTACTGATACTGAAATCTTTAAGTTTCATCATTGTTGATCATACATCACGTACTCCAGGATGTGACTGTGATGCCTTTTAAACTGAATCTCCAAATAAATTAGCATCTGTAAATCAGGAGAAGGTCACAGAAAAGAAAATCTTTTTAGCTGTGGGTAACACAGTTAAAATGCCCTGTTTCTGTCCAAAGGAGGAACGTGAGAGCGACCAAATATTGACTGTACGCTTTTTGAAACTGGCCTTTTGAGACTGTTTTTACAGCAAATGCTGAAGTGGAAACAGAGTGTGATACTGGCCCCGCGACACTTCCAGCAGAGATGCAGCCAAGGACAGTCCACGTGAAGCAAAGCGAGCCATGCAGAGCCTGTCTAGCATAAACCGCAGCCTGATAACAACTAAAAACACATCCAGCGCAGCAAGAGACCCAGGGGCATGCAGAACCACTTTGCTCACTTGTCATGAGAGGGAGAAAAAAAAGAGGCACAGATGAAATGCAGTAATGGCAGAGAAAGAAACAAAATCACTTGAGGCTGACTAGAAATGACAGGGTGCAGAGGATGTTAGAAAAGATGAGGAGTTTGTTTAACTTAAGAGCATGAGAAGAGAGGCAAAATAATATACCTAGGCATGTCCGAATCAAGAAACTGTCTGCAAAAGCAAAAAACAACATTCCATTAGTGGACTGGAGGGAGAAAAATGTTAGCATCCATTAATACCTTGATGTTAGTATTAGCTAGACTGAGCAGGGACCACGCTGGATCGCAGTCTGACCTGGTGCTGAACCCTTAAACGCAATTCTTAACAGCACAATTTTTTGTGTTGTATTCAGGGCTGATAACCCCTTGGGTGCAGCACCACGGTCAAAGCAGGGCTGGTTGAGCAGGACCACTGGCCAGAGCTGCTTGGAGCATTTGGTTGCTTTAGTGTGAAACTCATGTTGCTGTTACTGTTAGGCTTTTGGAAGATTGGTTGGGAAGGCAAAAGGATTAAGCACAGAGCCTATAACAGAGGGTCACATAAATCATAAACAGCAAAAGAATAAAATTAATTAAATGGCTTGCAGTTTACATATTTAACTTGGGTAATATCATAATCATGGCCAAAGGACATTAACAGAAAATCTACACAGATATTTGTCCTTATACCACACCCTAAATATACATAAACATAATGTATGATACATGGTAGTACTCAAGAGTTACTGTGCCAACATTACTGTTAAATGTAAGTCGTTTTAGATCTTACAAAGCAAACCAATTAAGAGCTAATGGTCGCTGATGCCAGTAACTACCATATTTCTTGAATAAATTTGTTTTCATCTGGAGGCCAGAAGTTATAAAGATACCTACTGCCCTCTACTGGCTGGCTGCAGGGAAACATTACACACCTCAGCACAATATACTGTACATCTAAGTGCTTGGTACCAAAGCTTATTTTGTTTGTTTAAAAAAACAAACCTCAGGTACATAATTTCTACTAGCCTTTTTTGCTATGGTGAATTTTATGATGTTAGTAAACCACTACTTACATTTCAGTATGACATTAGCTTGGTCTCATAGGTTGTAGTTTATAGTACTTTTGAATCATTCAGTTGCACCTCCATCACTCCAGCACCTGAAGTCTTCATACAACACACCTAGAAACACTATTTTAAGGGCTCCAAATTTAACATTATATGGGTCAGTGCATGATTAGCAGAGACTTCGTTTATTGTTATTCACACTCAGTGATTTTGAAAAATCAGGAGTTGATCAACACTGGAGTGAAGATAAACTGCTGTATGTCCAATACACGACATCATACTGAGTCCAAATATGATCATTTACACTAGTTCTTAAGTGAGACAGTAAAATGAGTCTATAAGCAGGTCAGTGTTTGGTTAGTAGATCTAATCATGGTTGAGAAATGAGGTTAGAGGTGAAATGATTAACAAAATGAGATGAAACATAGGTGTAATGACAATCAACCAATGAGAGCACAGATTAACACCAAGGAGGGTCGCACAGCCAGCATGGGCTAGTGAATTCTTAGCCACTAATGTGGCAGATTTACTGCAGGGTTAAAAAATAAATCAAGGCAAATTAGTGTCTTATTGCACATGGTCACTCTGGATTAGTTTTACTGCAGGTATGGCCTCTTGCAGTTAGAGAGAGAAGGCTACAGTAGATTCATGCACACATAGTTAAGGGGATAACAGCACAATAGAACTTGCCGAGAACTGCTATGACATTCAAGTTCCGCCTGCTATGCTTGTTTCTGACAAGTACAGCCACTTCACTATGCCAAGCACGTGCTCATGTGTCAGGTTCCAGTGCAGGAGTTGTCACAGCAGTAATAAAGCAAGGTCCCTCACATAAGACTGTTGTTAACATAAAAATCAAAACTATACAATGGTTCCAAATTCAGCCAAGCTGAATGAACATATCTGTGGCCAGATGTTTCTGGTTTTTAATTCACCAAGCTAGATACACTGGCCCAGTGTTGTTCTGGCAGCTGCAAAGTAATGTGCTTCCATCACGTGGTTCACCAGTACATACCGGTCATCTTGCATGGGCCCGACATACCCGGCAGCCAAGATGTTGAGAGAGAGAATATTGGGGTCAATGATGGTCTCATCAGCTTCAGGGGTGCTGCGAAGGCGTCCTGAGAAAGGACAGGTGCCTCAGTGACGGCTCATACAGAATATGATGAAACGTTTACTTTTTTACAGAGAAAGCCTGGAAACCAAACCTACCCACGACAAGCTCACGGACTTCTTTCCATTCAATGTCACCTCCTGATTCATGTACAATAGTAACAGCGATTCTCCTCTGGAGGCCCTGTAGAGATGAAGAAGAAAGGAAAAGGGGTATGGTTGATGGTCATGATGTAAAATATTCCAAATATCATTGTTCACAGTGCGATTGACATACCTGGTGCAGTAGGAATGTGCCATGGCAAGGCATTCCTCCTCTGTGGTCAACCACTGCAGGGATGTAGCTGGAAACGCAAATGAAAATGAGCCTCACTTGATATATAGCACAGGTGAGAATTCTGTGGTCAAGTGTTTCCAATAAAACATTTAATTTCACAGAAGGCTCTGCCAAATTATCCCAAAAATCTGCTGCATGAAAATGAACTTCTGCACTAGATGCTTTGCATGGAGTCACACTGGACACTCACTCTCCATTGGCCTCCAGCTCACAGATCTCAAAGAACACCATGAGATCGTATTTACATTGGCAGGGTCCAGCCTGCGGGCGGGTCATGGCTGTCAGCTTGGTGGCAGGTACTATGTTGAAAAAGGAGATAGAGAAGGTTATAAAAAGGATTTGAGTTTGAGAACAGCTCCAACTCCAACAGAGGAAAGAGCAAGGGGAGAAAAGAGGAATCAGTGATGCAGGGACAGAGAGGAATCACTTAGTCCTGAAGGACCTCCTTTCTATCAGCAGATGTAGAAGCAACATCTGCAGTCCTCTTAAAGAAGAATACCACTAAATGTTTTAAGAACAAATCTTTGTTTCCTTATGCTGTTTGTGAGCTCACTTATGTATCTGGAAAACTTTACTAGCTTTAGCTCTGTGGGTTCTCACTACACCAAACCATCCTGTGCATGAACAAAAGCATGTGCCCAAACTCCTTAAACAGTATTCTTCTTTAAAAGTATCTATGCTTTTTATTTTTTGTCAATATCATCATTATTTTGTACAAACGATTATGTTTAGTTTGATTAGGAGCTAACTGAATTCTCCCAATTTAAGAAAGTTCCCCAAGAGGAGTTCAGATGTAAGAGAGAGTGTGCATGACAGGATAAAAACACTCAAGCAACCCAGGGGTTGGGCCCCAGCTCAAGCAGAATATAATATATACTGTAGATTAAAATAAATATGTAGAGGTAGCACAACCATTTGCACATTGTAAACAATGATGTACTATATACAGCACGGCTTAAGTACTGTAATGTACTGTATGTAATATGTTATAGAATTCACATTTTCATTTCCCTTAACTGTTTAGATTGGATTGGTTCTGATCTAACATGTGAATTACGCCAGTGAGAACCAATAAAGTCTTATCTTATACAGTATGTGTAATATACAAATATACAGTATAATGTACATTATAAGTTAACATTTTTGTAACAGTATTATTGATTACTACTGTAGCAGAAAGGCACCGTGACCCCGTTCAACAGGAGCCCAAAGAGGGAACTGCAGGGAGTATCCACCACGCAGGTCAACAGTAAACACACAGTACACAAATCCAAATGAATCCTGACACAAGAAACACCCTTTTTATATTCATTCATGTAATTCAGAAAACTACTACAGCTTCTAGTCAGTAGTATATATAACTTAAACTCCAGCAGAAAGACTTGAACCGTGCTCTTTTTGGCTCTTTTTCACTGTAGCTCCCTCTCAACAGGAAGGTCACAGGGCTGGTTACAGAACATCGAACCAGAGCCCGGAAAGATGTCATTGTTTACTTCAGCAGAATTGGTGCCTGTTGTCACAGAAGCTTGAATCTCTACAGTAAAATAGTACTAAGTAAAATGTTGTTTGTGAATCAACTGTAGTGTGGCACAACGGTCACTTGGCTTTGTTGTGCCATTTACTGTAACTCACTCAAAAATAAACCACTTGATATAAAAAGCAATTTTCAGTGGCAGGACTCTCTTGGATTTGACCACAATAACCAACCCGGCTTCTGAGCTTTAATAACTGAACAGATAGAGGTGGGCGGAGCTGGCAACTGAGCTCGCTCGTTTGCTTCCAGTAGGAAGGAAGCAGCCAAGCCAGCGGCAGACAGAGCATGGCCTGACAGCGAGTCCACCAGCGCTCCATTGAACACATCTGGGACCAGGTATCGGATCAGCTCCAGCGATTTCTCCTGGTCCGGAGAGGCGTCAGAATCCACTGCTCACACCCAACAACATGAAGCTATGATGACATGACTTGCAGGCAGACCAGTACAAAACTATACAACATACATAAATGGTGGAATTCTAGAAAACAAACTCCAACTTAGAGCCTATTTACCTGGTTTGGACAGAGGCATCACTCGTGGGAACTGTTTTCTGCAGGGTCGCAGTGGACTGGTTGTGGAAATAACAACACACACGTATGTGTTACTATAAAAACACAACAATGTACATAATATTTTTGGCTGTGCAGCTCTTTTGATTTACTCTTTAAACTGTTATCATAGTACCTGATGACATCTTTACAGAAAAGAAGAAAAGGCTGTTTCTGGTAGTGCCCAAACACCTCAAACACAATTGGCTGAGTCTTGATGTAATCAACAAAGGATTTAGTAACTTCAACAGCAATCTACAAGAACAACACAGTTGCGGGATGTTAAATACTTGACCTCTTATAACTGGAAACAACAAACCAATCTTCAGGACCACTGCTGACAGTTCTTACATTCTGCACATGGTAGAAGCCTAGAGGAGGCCCACGGCCTGTGTTTTTTAGGGGTTCAGTGGAGAAGGCCTCATCGTGGCGGTGGATGAAACTGAAAACAAAAGAGCAACACATAAAAATACAACTAATATTAAAAAACTGTGTAATTCTGAAAACATTTTGATGAATGCTCACTTGAACTGGCAGAAGATGTCAGCGTATTCTGCAGAGATGCTGGAGGCCTGCAGGACAGTCACCCTGAAGGTAAACACACTACCAATCCTGAGGTGCTCCAGAGCATCCAGCGGGCCATCCAGACTGGCCTTTAACAGACTCTCCTGCTCGTCTGCACCAGCTTGAGGAGCACAAAGAAAACAAGTCAGAAACAGCCGCTCAGACTGAGGTGATGGTCAGTACATTCAGGTGTGTTCTGACACCATGAATGAGGTGTGGCAAGGATTTAAGGTCTTGGATGGATCTGAGCCAAGAATCGCCTCCTTCTGGCTTTGGGCTAGTACAGACACTCTGAGCCCTCATGTCCAGCAGCCAGGTGTGCCAGATTTAGGTCACTGTTAGACTGAGTAGGATACCACATAAACACCCAACACACAACATGTGTCGATTCACTCATAAATACAACTACCTGCACAAGTGTTGTTGTTGACCTCATCAGCTGAGGGTCCCATTTCTGCGTTCTGCCCCTCCCCCTCCACAATACGAAGCTCCTCCTGGGAAATCCCTATGCGGGACAGTCCAACAGAGCAGGACTCTGACTGGAACTGCAAAAGCAAGGTGTAAAACAGACAGTAAACAAACCATTTACAGACAAGTCATGCACACGGTACATAGAATATAATGATTTCCTCTACCTTTTCATATTGCTGATCCTCAAATGAGATTTTGGCTGTGCCTGACTGCCTCACTCCTGAGCCGTAGTCGGGAGCTTCCTCATCAGCTGGAGGGAAACACAGAGAACCTTCACTTCACTCCCTCAAGAAGTCACACACAGCCTGTCCTTTCAATCTCATCATGCCCTTTGTCTCAGCAATTAGGCCGAGGATCCGAGCCTTACCTGATATGGCCTGCACTGCCACTCGAAGGAAGCCCTTCACTTCTCCCTTCTCACTGACGATGGCCACGCGGTGGACAAGAGGAACCGGGTACAGTAGGTTACTCAGATAAACAAAAGCCCTGGATAGGAAGCAGAAAGAGAGAAAGAAATAATAAAAGATTAAGAACAACTGAGCTAAGGAGACATGTCACACTTGATAGGTTTCACTGGACTGGACAACTGAACAGAGAGCTGCAAAGCAACCAAACAGAAGCTGGGACTGCTCTTGCGATGGCCATGGCTGCCCTTTACTATTGCTTCTAGGGGCTTTTTCCTCACCATCTAGAAATGATGATATTATCAGGACAATTGTGGGTGACATGCAGTTTTCATAACTTTTGTGCTTTTCTATCGAAAGCTTGGTGAGGCCAAGGAGCATGTGTGTAAAGGGTCAATTTTAACTTCTTTAAATGATTTCAGAATATTCCAAACCAGCTCAGTACTCAGCTGGAGAGCAGATGTTTTCCTCATCCTGAAAAAAACATTTCTTTGTATTAAATTGCCTCATGATGACATCATACTGCGTTAACCTACTGTGCATCATGAACATGCCTCAGTATAAAAACACTACATTAAATATCTAATGTACGATGAAACTGCACAGTTGAGGCACTTTGTATTTGCATTAGACATGAAAAAGACTTGTTGTTGACATAAACTACAACTTTGTTAAATGTAAATATGAGAACAGTTGCATTACCAATGTTTCTCTCTCCTGATTGTTCAACCTCTGGTTATTAGCTACGATACATGATCTGCAGTCAAAGACCACGTTTCCCATGAGCCAATAGGGGTAGACATTTAAGGGTGGAGTGTAAACAAGGAGGAGGCTTATGACAAGATTGGTGAGGTGCAAAGAAGGCATGCTCAGGACAAAAACGGTGAACAAAAAAAAAATGCTTTCAACTCTTCGACTCAAAGAAATCAAAAGCAAATGGAACAGAAATTATCATACGGAACATGGCTCAGCTTGAATAAAAACTGCCAACAGCTTGATATATTGTATGCAATGACATCAGAAATCAAAGTGCACCTCCTGGGTCAAAGTACTAATTTGTACAAAGAGGGGCACTAGTTCATCATCAGACATATTCAAGTAAAAATTGGGGGAAAAAAGGTCAAAATGAAAAGACTTGTGCTCTGGCATGCCTAAAAGAGACAGCTGCAGCAGAAACCAGCTCTTTCATCTTGAGATTTTGAGTCTTCCTCAAACTCCACTTTTATATTTCATGTGAAATATTCTCCAACTTCTTCAGGCCTCACAGCATGGTGAACATTTTGCTGTGGGTTTCTGTGTAAATGCTAATCAGACCTCAATATACTCCATGAGACATGTCAGTGCTTTCACTAGTGAACACTCTACTTAGAAGCCACTACCGTGTAGTCACATACACTTTAAACGAGACACACACCTCAAGCAGCCGTTGAGCATCAACATTGCTTGGATTTTCATGGAGACAAGTGGTATGAACTGACCCACCCCTGACTGACTTCAGGCACTTGTTTGGTAAGTAAAATTATATAATGAGTGAGAAGCAGTCTAACTTAGTGTGTAAAAACATTTGCGGAAAATAAAAACAGAAATAAGCATCTAATTTGATAAAAATAAAAAAAGAAAGCAAAAGATAAACCTTAAAAGCCCAGAAATGTCTACTCCAGTGTCCATTCAGTAACACATTCATGAAGAACATCCATTTGAGAACATTTGTGTCTTGAACATCTGAGACACAGGGCCAATGACAGGGAACAGAAACTTGAGGGGATAGTTTAACTTGGAATTCTAAGCTAGCAGGAGGTTTTTAAGATGAAATGAATGAAGATATACAAGTTGGTTTTCACATCTCTACATTCAAACCTTTCAAACTGAAATGCCCCGACTGCGTGTTGACATATACAACTATGGCTTACTTATCCCAGCTGGACTGTACGATAGAAAGTGTCTGTAAAGCAAAAAGGAGTATAATTTGGCTGCCACATAAGAAAACAGAAGACACTCACTTGTTGCAGAAACTTCAATTTTGAGTTTACAGTATGTACTTATGCACACACAGTCCAGAAAAGAGCAAGGACTTTCTGAGAACATACTCTCGTACTGTATCTGCACTGCATTTTCAATAACGTCCCCTGTGCTGACGTCTATCGAGGGAAACAGACCCTGCGTCTCAGTGTGAAAGAGCTAGTTTCCTCCACCAGCATGCTCCCGAAACCTCACCAACCTTCCCACTACACTGAATAATGGTGAGCGGTCGTAAAAGGGATCCTGGCCTTCGCTGGAGCCTCGGCAGAGCTCTCCCTCATCATCATCATCATCATCATCATCATCATCATCATTATCCTCTCCCCCAAGCTCCGAGCATGGGTCGTCCAAAAAGATATCATCATCCAGGTCCTCCAATTCCTCCAAGTCCTCCTCCCCTCGACCCTCCCGCTGCGAGTCAGCCAGTTCAGTAATTTCAGAGTTGGAGAGGGTCGGGGATGGGGTAGGGTCACTCATGCGCTCGCTCATGCATGTGTTGAAAATGGGATTTCTGGTGCAGCCAGAGACATGGGAACTAGGTTAGTACAGTTAGATAGAAACACACTTGTTCAAACAAGAGGATTAATAGAACACCATGTTGAGTGAACCACTGGAGAAAACCTTCATCCCTTTGAGCCAGAAACTGCTGTCGCTGACTGTTTTAGTGGACAGTGGAGAGAGGAAACAGACAGGGGAGTGCAAGCAAGCTACAAGGGTAATTAACTACATATGCCAAGAGAGCATATACTGTACAGTATGTAAGCGTGTCAGAACATGAGCATGACACCATGAAAACAACAACTCTCTGTGGCCATTTCTGAGTGCCCACAAATATTGACCAGCAGCAACTGCTAGTTTTAAGCCTATAGTAAATTCAGCAGGTTTGATAGGTCTACTGTAAGTACAAGAAATATTCCAAATAACACAGTAGATATCACCTGTTGTATAAATATAAAGTATATAATGAGTGAGCTGATAGACAACACACAAGACATTTTCAGATCGTAGTCTGATCCTTTTTGCAGATGCTAAATGACATTAAAGGCTTGATATGCTGAATATTATGTAACATGGGCACGTGACCGTGTGTAGGACCCATCTGAAAGAGAGAGAACACTTGGCAGGGACACTGGGAGGCTGCATGCCAAAGTGGGAAAGAAAGAAACAGCAGGCTTTGAGTAGGAGAACTGAAGAACTGCCCTTCCAAACACTCTCCAGCGATTCTTCCCATTAAAAAGGACACGCCCAGCATGACGCACAACTGACTGTCAATCCATCCCATGTGTTAAAGCTGCACAGTCCATAGTCAGCAGAAATATAACCACAGTGGCTTCAGAAAAAGACATTAAAGAAGAAAGCTGATTCATTCTTTTAAAAAGCACACAGAATGTGAAAACTGGAAACATATCAGTTCAAAAATATATGGTCAGTTATTAGATTTAAAATGCTGTCTGTGCAAACTTGTGGTTACAGTACTGTATGCCTATTAGGAAATGATGCCCAATAAGACCTTCATATGGAAATTGTTCTATTAGTTGAAACTGACAGATGTGATGATGGTGGTGCACTCACAGCACAGAGTGGGAACACCAGGCTTCAGCATGTAATGACAGAAACACCATAATAAAGTGGGCTGCAGACTGCATGCTGATGTTTCTGTCATTATGGTCCATCAGTTGCCCACATGCACAATATGTGGCAGTTACAGCTAATAGCTTCCAGTTATCCTGAATGGAGAGACGAGCTTCTGCTTACTGTTGAGGGCCGGTGGTGTTCAGCACTTACTGTACCTGCCAACCAGACGAAACCAGGGGAAGCGGTCATAAAAGGGGTCGCCTCCTGTCATCGCACTTTCACAGTCCTCACTGGTGGTGTTGGGCACATCAGCAGCACGGTCATACATCTCTCTCATGAGATCGAGCCTCTGCCTGCAAAGAGCGGCAACAACTACTAAGTCATTTCTGAATTTATGCTTCATAGCATAGGTTTATGAGAAATGTTCTTATGGTGAATAGTGTGCTTTATGTGAATTTTATCTCTCACGTACACACTAAAAACATCTGTCTTTCTGCAATTATTTAACATAATGTCTCAGGTTTTAAACTGCAGAGCAGCCAAATGGATTATGCTCTCTTTTGGCTAAAAGAATATATGAAAGTAAATTGTATGGCATTATATTAGTAATTTACTACCCTGTCATGTGAAGACTTGGTGCATGTTCACATACCTTAGTTTTTCCAATGTCCAGTAGTGAGTGGCTCCATTTTTCTGATCCTGCACCTCCACAGCCACAATGGTGCGTGGGAAATGATGCTTTTCTCTGTCTTTAGTTGCCTCTGGGGGCAACAGGTCTGGTGGCAGGGGGGAGTAGAGAGTATCTGTCAGCAGCACAAACTGGAACTGGACCTATGGGGGGACACAAAGGTGCAGTCAAATAGCCAAATTATACCATCCATTCATAAACACAATGAAATTTAAATCACAGTAAGATGTCGGACCTTCTTCTTGAGTTCCACACTGATGGCATTGGCCTCCTTGAGGAAAATGGCATTTCCCCATAACAAGTCACGCAGAGAAGTAAACTGGTAGAACCTCCACTTTCGAAAGCTCCACACGGCTAGCTCTCTCTCCCTCTCTGTCCATTGCACTGTGGGCCACAAGCATAAAAAACCATCAACTTGTGAGGATTTTCTGACCAACAACATACAGTATATACTGTATGTACAGGTGCATGTGTCAAATTATGGGAACTACCTTCTTCTTCTGGCTCCTCTTCTTCTTCGAGGGCTTCTGGGTAATAACGGTCCACTTGCTTCTGAAGAGCCTCCAGCTTACTCTCATAATCCTGCACAGTTGATTAATGAGGACCTATGTCAAAATGTCTGCTCTTTACAAGTCATTTAGTAGCAGAGGTCGGTTGAATAAAAAGCCCATGGCATGCTTTTCCTTGTTTTCTGACTTATCTGCAATGTTATCATCTTAGGCGTGACTTAAAGCTCAAAAAATGAGGTTGTAGGCATGTTCTAATACTTCTATGCAGAAGCAACTCAGTTTATACACATCTCACAAACTCTTGCTCACGAGACTTTTTTTCTGACAAAAGATTTCCTTGAATGGTCATAATCTACAGGCTGTGCGTGTTCATGTGAGCTTGCCTGACATCCACCGGTTCCAATGTAAAAGCGGAATTTTTCGACCGCGCGGTTTTGTGGATATATTTTACCTCCTGCTGCTGGACTGTGACCAGAGGATGTGGTCACAGCAGTGTGTCTGCTGCATGTGATGTGTTGCTGGTTAAAGGAGCAGATTAACGACCCATGATGTTATTGTTGGAGCTACGCTACCTGTTGGAATTCATTTCACTACTATGAGACTGTTATGTGGTCGTGTGGGAGAAAACGCAGCGACCACCGGTTGGATTTACCGACCTTGGAGCTACTTGAAAGGGACTGATGTTTCCACTACTTGGTGGGACTTAACGGTAAGTTTAAAAAAAACAGGTTGCATGTCTGTTAATGCATTGTTTCTGTAACGTTACAGAGAATTGTTGTAAGACTGGAGAAGTCACTATGTCTGCGTTATGCCAGTTAAAATATGGGGTTTCTCAATTACCTGCTTTGTTTAGTGTTACACATCTCTTTTCATTGGTACATATACGGTTGTTTACCCATCTATGGAGGATAAACTCAAATTAATTAATGCTGTTGAGGCTCGTTGTGCTGTCCACTTTCGACACAACACCGGCAGCAGGAGTTGTGCACTTTCACAAAATATACTGTCGTTTTCAGGAAGAGGCTCTCTGGTTTTATCATTCTGAAATAATTAGACTATTTGGAGTTATGATGGATGCAAAGATAATCCAGAGGTCCCCGAGATTAAACATTAAATGGCTGGAAATGAGTGGACACTTGAGTGAGTCGACTGACACAATCATGGAAACAGAGCTCATTCAGAGTTGTGTATTTTTATGTTAAGCATGGAAAAATATCTTCATTTAAGATGCTCTATGAGAGGAAAAGAGGAACATTACAGCTAATACGCATTCAAAATCCAGACTAAACTATGGCAATTTCATGTTTTCCGCAACTCCAATCACCTGTTATATGGTCCATATTATATATAACAATAGATACACCTGCAAATAACACTGGTTGACCATTTTTGGTTTGAGAAAGAACTGAAATATGCCCATTTTTATGAATTTTGAGCTGCTGAATTTAATTATGACCTTTAAAAGAGCTTGAGGTATGAACAGAATAAGCAACTTAATTAAGCAAAAAGTGTGTGGCTTGTACTGCCTGAGGCACAGCATCAGCCTAATGTGTCACCTAATAAGCTTGGCATATCAGAAAATAATAGTTTTATCATTAAATCCACCAAGACCTTTGGTTACAATCTCTGGTTCTGCTCAAAGAGCTTTCCTTCTGAGAAAGTTCAGCCATTTTCAACCAAAATTCATACATGGTCAATGCCATATCTTAGACACCAGGGCCAATCAACAATTTTAGATATCATTTTCATTTCCAGTGGCCTAGAATTAGCAAACATTGATTATTTTTGTTTTGGGAGCATTTTGTTTTTAGACCAGTGTAACATGGTTACAGTTAGACCTGCAGACAGATGACAAATGTGAAGAAAACCCATCCACAGGACGCCAGGGGTCACTGACTGGTTTTTTTGAGTATGATAATGATGTAAATCATATGTTATGACCTTCACAGTCACCAGATCTCAACACAGTTGTTCATCCCTCCAGTAGAGTTCAGAACCTTGGAGAATCAATGCCAAGGTGCACTGAAGTGATTCTGGTGGCACGAGGTGTCCCGACACCTCACTGAGACACTTTATGTTGGGTTTTCTTTCAGTTGTCACCCATCTGTAATTTCTTGTAGATGTAATTATTAAAAGTTGCTCATTACTGTACCAGTCTTTGCTGCTCCAGAAGGTTGTTGGCCTCTTCTCTTTCTTTGCGATACTGGTCTTCCAACTCCTGCAGCCTGAAGACGCAAACACAAGACAACAATAGAAGCTTTAGATGAGCAATGAGCTACTTTAAAGGAATGGCTATGTTAATTTTTGCACTGGTGTCTTAATGTTTCTGGAGCAGTATGTCATTGGCGCACTGTGCTATAGGCTAGTTTCATGTGGCAGCTAATAAGACATACTCTTCTTTCCCTCCCAAGTTGCTTAGCTGTTGTTCCTGTCTACTACTCTGTGTGGTGGTGAGACCCTATTTGTCCTTGGGTGACATGCACGCAGCGGCCCGGGGCCCATCGGCTCCAAACAAAATTTCATTGTACATGTCACAATGTTACAATGACAATAAAATGAAGCCTCTTCTCTTCTTCTAAACAGCCTTTCTTAAAAAAACCAAAAAACAAAGTTGAATGGCTCAGTATTTCCCTACCTCTGCTCCATTTCCTGTTTCATGTCAATGCCCTGTTTCTCCAGCAGCTCCCGCTGGGCAAAGGCCCAGTCCACAGGCTCAACAGGTGTTTCAGCACAGGGGGTCCTCTCCCTCTCAGCCCTGGCCTGCACAGGGTGGTTGAAGCGGAACACGTGGCTCTTCCCCAGGATGATGCGATTTCCTGTAAGAGTATCACAAATCTGAATGTAATCATGCAAATGCATGCCTACAGTGTACTGCTTGTTGCTGCTAGTAACGATGCAGAAGTCAAAGTGAAAGTCAGAGAGCCAGAGAGATTACTGACCTGATTTGAGGACGGTGGGCTCTGTCACTCTCTTTCCATTGACATAAGTCTCAGCTCCTTCACATGGCTCTAGAACAACCAGTACTTAGGAGCAGAGAGGACAATGTCAGGTCTCATTCCCTCTTTGTCAATATTAAAGTGATGTAGTGTACACAGCTACAAGCCTGTGAAGCAAGGTAAAGACTGCTCACTTTCTCCCACTGGACCAGCAGAACTGGTAAAGGTACAGTGCTCGTCCTTGATGAAATGGCCACTGAGGACTATGTCCTGACGGCTACTGGCATCCAAACGACCGACCCTAAAAAACAAAAAGTGGCGATTTGAAAGCAAGTAAAAAATACACCTCAGTCTTTGCTTGTTTACAATAACATCTCAACTCTTCCTCTTTCAAGTTATCATTATACTGTGTATTCTTTTCTTTAAGTATTACCTAGAGATGCACAGATTACATCTTTCTGGACTGATTCTGGTTTCCAATTTCCAAGTCTGAACTGGTGATTCCGATTTTGGCCAATTCCAATTTTCTTTTTTTTTCTAAGAACTGTATTGACAGCATACACAAACTTTTTGGTCATTTTTTGTTATTGTAGTAAAAATATAACATATTAAAGTTCTACATTTCCACCTTTCCCCCACTTTTCTTTTTTAAACAAACCTCCAACTAAAAACGAAGTGCCATATTTGTACTTCTCCAACTATAACCAGGTGCAACAGAAGAATGTCTGTTACTACAGAGCACACAGTTCTTTTCAAAGTGTGTGTAGTTTGTGTTTGCTGTGTTTTACTGTGGGCTGGATACACTGTACCTACTGTATACATACATTTCATGTGTGCCACTGCATGCACGACGTGGACTGTCACACCTCTAAATCTGACGGGCACCAAATCGGAAATCTCAGAGTGATCGGCCGGTCACCGGTCAAGGCCGATCATGCTGATAACTGGCCATTCTTGATCTCTGCCGATCGATCGGTGCATCTCTAGTATTACTGTAGTATATCAATGTATGTTTCAGTATCTAACCTGGTGATCCCATCCTTAATGTAGTACAGCAGGCACTCAGACATCAGAGGATCCTCATTGAGGTTCACTAAATGAGGCGTCTGACACAGAACAAGGAATCGTTTATAGACTGCAGAACCGGTCCATAATAAACATAAATAATTTATTATCCATATGTTATTCATGATATAACACATGCATACTGAAAGGCAATCTCTCCCAGGAGGAAACACCAAACAGTCAGTAACAGTTAAAACCATGCAGTCAAAGTCCCCTCCCCAGATTCACAGCATGATTGTTTCATGTATTCTCAGGCTGATTGTTATGAGGCTGCAGGCAAACAGCCATAAATCACTGAAATGGGGGCAATGCCATTATCGTCCCCTGATGTTTACCCCCACTGCTGCCTTCAGCAAAGCAAGAGAGTGTTTGAAGTGAGTAATGAAGCAGATTTAAGATAACACTTAATGAAAAAGAGAACCCCTCATCTGTTCCGCCTTGTTGAAGTGGGAGAGCACTCAGAGAAGGAGGCAGCTTTAAACACTTCACAGCTACAAACCTCATTGGGGGAAAACAGCCCGACTGTGTCGATAAACACAGGCTGGGGCTTTCTGGGGCTATCAGAGAGCTTTGGGGGTAAATAAACAAACATTTATTGATTTATTTTAATGTATTAGAACATGCAGTAGATTAGTATTAGTATCAGATCACGGAGGAGTTTCGTGTCATACCTTCTTAGGGGAGAACACACCAACTGTCCCACCATCTTCTCTTATTGCTACACCCATTTCTGCCAGCAAAGCCTCTCTGAGGAGGAATATGTCAGACTCAGTATACCAAACATGTTTTGTATCTATGCCTCTCATCACTATAGCTTGATTATTCTGTAAAAATCTAAACTAGACAGTAGTAGAAAGTTAGGGAATCATTTGAAGCTAAATGATTTTATAGATCAGAAACAACAGGATTAAGAATTTATTATATTAAAAACAGTCCATATTACAAACCATAATCTAATATAATAGAACATTTTAGATTATCTTTAAACAAAGTCCTTGTGTCCTGTACCCAACATTGCATTACTTTTACTTATTTTTGACTTTTTTCATGATTTGTTGGTGCTTTTGTTTTGGTAGAATTTCTTTTCAGAGAAAAGTTAAATTACAAGACATCAATAATTACATAAAATGAGGTTTTTTTAAAAACAAATGTTTATCTCACCTTTCCATTCTAATGGCTTCTGTTCGCCGAAGTTTTTCTTCCCAAGTCTCATTGAGTTCAGCAATGATTTTCTCTGTTTCCTGGCATTTCAAAAGATAATGATAACAAAAGTACTGTCATTTAAAAGACAAGCCTGGTAAATCATGTTTTGTTTTCTTTTTGTCAACAGATGAAGAGAGCAGTATAAGCTTTGTCCTTTGTATCAGAGTTGAACTGTTGCCCAAAACCTATTAAAACAATACATTTCTTCATTATCACAAATATGGACACTGTAGTTTACTGACAGTAAATCCTGCATATACTGTCCTGCTGCTCTAAATACTCACTGGGACACCAAATCTGCATCAAAACAGTAAGCCCTAAAAAATGTCTGGTCAAGGCTTTTGAAAACACTCCTGGGGTTTTTATGGGATTTATGGGGAATAGCTAAAACACAGAATATTACCAGCTCTATCCTTTACTTACTGAGAGGGTTACGATTACAGATTTAGTGAATTCCATAGGAGTTTTACCTACAAAGGATCTGACAATATTCAACAAATAAGATTTTGGAAAATCCAATATGTACAGTACAGTACATGCAGTGCAACTATGCAGTGTCAAAGCAGAGTGTGTTTGAAGATTAGCTGTAGAGTGTTGACCTTCAGCCGCTCGATGGCCTCCTCACTGCCTGGGCTGAACAGAATGCGGTCGTGCAGGCTGGCGATGGATCCAGCACGGCTGGTCAAGGCAGAGAGAGACGGAGAGGGACTCATCCCTGTCATGGCATTGGTCACTGTGGAGAGATCATCCCTTTGATTCACAGCTTGGTCTTTATTGTTATTGTTCTTGTAATCGGATAGGTCTGTTGGGGTGGGAAGGGGTGCGGGGAGCATAGGGGAAGTGGTGTTGGGAATCAATAATTGGGAATAAAGAAATGCAGACGGATAAGGAAGAGAAGAAAATGGAGAAAAGAAAACACAGAAAGACTAGATGTGGCTTGAAAAAACTCACAGAGAGTAATCTGATCTGCTAAGCATATAAGCAAAGGCAACGCCAGCACAAAAGCCACGCGCAGAGGAGACCAACTTAAAAGATGCAACAGGGAGGCCATCCAGCCATGACCAATGAAAATGCAGCAAGTATACGAAATCATCCAGCAGTGTCAAATGCAGGATCATTCAATTACAAAACAATGTAAAGGATTTACTGGCCTCTCATCAGTAATAGTTGTATTTCCTGCAAAGAATACTGGGAAGCCAGAGCTCCCAGTTAAGATTCCTATCTAAAAGCAGCAAGATGCACGTAATGTTCAGTGTGCTTCATTAAAATTAGCAATGTCAAACAAACGACTGAAAGCAGAAATCCATTTCTCTGGCAGAGAATCATACATGGTGGTAAGTTTGTCTGGCTGGCCTTGAAACCAGTGTCCTCACTGGACATTATTTAATCAGTATACTTTCTATTTATCAAACTAGCCTACCAGCATGTTCCGTGCTTTTGCCATTGTTGTGGCAACTCAAAACCATATAACAAATTCTACACAATAAAGAATATCAACCATCCAGGTGCTGCTATGGCAACACACAGCAATAAACTGGGAAAGTGTATCAGCCCCATCCATCTGGACAGGCTGTTGCACACCAAGCTGGATCACACAATAATGTCTTTGCAGTGCAGTTGTGTATTATGGAAAAACTGTAAAAATGTATGACATAAAATGGGATGACTATATCTAAGGTGCAATATTATGCAAGTGATTATAGGCTCTGTGGTTGAAGGCTGCATCATCACCTTCTGTTTACAGTGTGCTTTCTCACCATGGCTGCCAACAGAAGGCGATGGGGCCAGACAGACCCTGCCAGGGGAATGGGGCAATACAGCTTATACATGAGGGCTGAAACATATCTCATGATTATAGTTCATAATCTTCTATATTGCATTGCTCAGCTTTGTTGCTTCATGAAAAATTAAGCTCTGTCCCAACAGTGCTGCAGCTAAGAAGCCATTCACAGATCTCTACAGCACTATGACAAGGCACACTGTGCAGCCCATAAGGTCCTGAAGATTAGAGCCAAAAAGGGCTTCATTACAAGTCACCTAAAACATTCAGCCATTCTGATCAGTCCCTCATAAGACTGTAGTGCTGCAGAGACCTCAAAAAGCCACTATTTACTGTCACAGTAAGCGCTGGTGATGCTAAGATGCCGCAAGAGCAAAAGCAAGAGTCAGAAAACACACATGGCAAACCCTCTATCTCAGCACCAGATACCCGATATGCTGGGAAAAGAGGACATGGAGTGACAGAGAGACAGAGAGAGAGAAGGTAGAGTGTGACAACTTCAGATAAAAAAGTTCATGTACACTTATCATGTGATAAACACCCGTGTCTCCAGAAATAGATCAGTTTGGCTCCACTGCTCTCAGCACATGATAAACAGTACACAGCTCAGATATAAACACAAATCTAATTCTACGTATATTATTGAGGTCATAGTTAAAGGTGGTGCTGTAGTGGATGACATTGTATTCAGAGGTGTCTCTATAGTTCTGTCCTCCCAAGCTACATACATGACGAACACATCTGAATATAATGTAGTCCGGTACAACACCACCTTTAACCCAATAATAAACACAGAATTGAATTTATACATTTATGACAATTTCACCAAAAACCAAAACATTCTGAGCTTCATTAACACAAATGTTAAGACTGAAGTGCAATTCTACAGGTGTATCTTATAAAGTGGCTGCTAATTGTATGAATGGTGATTAGAAAATAAGACATTTTTGTGATAACTTTAAAGCTTTGTTCGAATAGAACATACAGCAAAATTTGATCTTGTTTAATGCACCAGAATTTACACACCCCTTTTAATGTCTTTAACCTTTTACAATAATAAAAGACACAAGATATAGCACATTCACATCTTGTTGTCGACGTGTATTATTTGGGCTGTGTAATAGCATGATCCATCCTGCCAGTTTCACTGCAGGTGGACTGCTCGTTCAGTGCTGACTGTTGCTAGAGAAAACGGAGGAACAGGTGGGGCTGTTGCATGACTGAAAGGACAGGAGTAGAGCCTAAAGATGTTTTTGATAAAAAATAGGCATAATGTTCAACTTGTGAAACACTAATGTGAGCTAGCTTGTCTTGCTAGCTCCAGAAGCTAATGCTACAGCATGGGAATAAATTGTACTTTGCCAATCGTGGTGCAACTGCAGTCTAAATAAGTATTTGTTCTCCATTCACATCTTCCCATTGAATTTTTTCTGTACTGCCTCTGAATTTGCTTTGTATTCTATCTGAACACACAGGAGGCACAGTGCTTGTGCAGGGATCTGACAGTGTACTATTGATAATGGTGCACTCTAGCAAACGGGTCTGAAACTATTACAAGCCATTTGAAATCTAAATCTAGATATAACACTAGTGGTTGCACAAATCCCATAAATGATTCCTTACTCTCAATGATGTCACCCAGGCCCTGGGCATAGAGCAGATCCTTCAGACGAGACACCTCCTCCTTCAGCTCCCGCACCAATCTGTTGTTGGGATCCTCATTGATGACAGCGTTACAGCGAATCTGTTTGGCGCGATCTGCGTATCTGTGGGTATAAGGGAGGGATCTTTGAGCGTACTGACGCAGATGGGGGAGGAGACAACAAGGCACACCACACACAGATATACACATTCACAGTTCCCCTGACACCACACAGCTACACAATTCTGCAGCTGCAAATCACGAAGGGGGTTTAAAGTGTGAAACTGATGCAAGCTGAGGAAAACACATATCGTACAACACTCTGACCTCACCGGCACCAGTGTCCTTCCAGGTCACATTCATCAGTTGTGTGGGAAGAAAAAGATACAGCAGAAAATGTGTCTCTCTACCTGAGTGTACTGAGGGTCTCATCATAGTTGATGTCAGCTGGACTGAGGGCAGCTACCATCGCAGTACGAGAATTCCCCCCTGACATCATGTAGAAAACAGGATGATTAGAAAGTGTTAGGACGTGTTTGTCAGGAGCAAACGGACCATCAACACATATGCTGTGTGTTCATACCCAGATTTTCTCTCAGTAACCAGGTCAAGACTGAATCTCTGTAGGGGATGAAGCTTTCCGCTTTCTTCTTCTTTTTATTCTGTGTTTTTAATTCAATCAGAAAATGTATATAAAGCATTAACTGGCTCAGCTTAAGGAAAGAAATGATTAAAAATGATAACTTAAGTTTAAATGAATAATTTAAGTAAATTACCTTATTTGGTCCAGAGTCCTAAAATGAAGCAGACAGTACAATTAACATGTTGATGTTCCATAACACATTTATTTTACAATGTATAATAAGCAGATATAATACATACCACTTCTGCCAAAGCAGAGATGACTTTCCCCAGTGTGGTCAGAGATTTGTTGATGTTCGCTCCTTCCTGGGACAGAGCACGAGGCAGAAGTAAACATGCTAATCACCCGCCTTCATATTGTACTTGTTAACCATATATGTCTTTTCTGATAGAAATGCTCACCTTAAGTCTGGTCCCTTTGGCTCCAGTGGAATCTGCCCTCTCACTGCCGGCCAAATCCACCAAACTTATTTTGCTGACCTGCAGAACACCCAAGAGAACACATCAGCTGACAACAGAAACACTATTAATCTTCATTTCATAGACAGGGTTCATTAACAAAAGCCCTCACAGTGCTGCATTATCACGATGACCTTCAAGCAGTCATTGATTTCCAATTTACGACAAAACTGAAATTAGTGTAATCAATCATCTTATATATAGATAAGCAGTGGCAGCAGCTCAATGTTAAACAGGTTCACTGAGGATGTGATAAAACCCCTCTACCTTCTCCGAGGTGTTCTCTGTGTCAGTGTCGTGGCGTTTCTGAGTGAATATGATGCTGAAGACAGCATGCGAGCGACTGCTTGTCTCATTCATGTTGGTGGCAGCGACAGTCCTGTAAAGACAGTGAATACGTTTGCTCAATGATTATCCAGCAGGGATAATCTGCTCAATCTGTGCACAATATGAACAGCCAGAACTTCTCCCTTCACCAGAAATGTCTTTAATGTATTCTGTCATTCAGGAGACTGACTGGCAATAACCCAATATGGGCTGATCACTAGTTGGTGCACTGACAAAAAAGCAGAGTGAAGTGACTCAGACAGCTCCATCACCTGGCCTTGTTGCCAGAGTCCATCAGGTCCTGGATGTCATTGTAGGAGGTGACAGCCAGCTTAGACAGGTCCTCCACATAAGGCCCCATAAGGGGGTGCTCTCGCACACGCAGGTGTCCCTTGTTTTTTGGGTTCAGCAAGTCCCGCACACGTTCACAGTAGATTTCCATGTAGCTTACCTGTTCAGATTCATAATATTAGCACATAACATGTGACGATTTCAGGTACACTGTGCATAATCCACATAGAGGAGGGCACCCACCTCCACAGAATAGGACATGCTGTTGTCTGTATTGTCACTGATCTTGGTGAAAAGATCTTCACATAGCTGGAAGGGGGAAATAATAACAAAATAATCACATTATTTCCAAAACTGGTGTATCTGAAAAATTAGGAACCATCTTTCATTTGATTTATTAGTAGTAATGGTCAAGTAATCATAAGTCTGCACCAGGGGAATTATTCCTTGTTGATCCTTGACATCCTGCTTCCCCATCATGGTGTAGGACTTGCCAGCGCCTGTCTGGCCATAAGCAAAGATGCAGACATTGTAGCCCTCGAAGGCGTGCAGCAGCATTTCCTCTCCAATGTCTTTGTATACTTGCATCTGAGAGGCATAATTGACATCCTCTGGCTGTGGACAGAAATCAATAACCAGCCATGTAAATCTTTAAATTATTTGTAAACCTGACAAATGCAGCATAAAGCGATCCACAGTAAACTAAATATGTCTGTGTGTGTGTGTGTGTCTGTGCAACATTTGTACTGTAGGGTTGCAGACATAGTTACCGAAGTGTGGGACCAGTAGGAGTAATCAAAGTTGAAGCTCTTGTTGTCTTTGGCCTGCTTGGGGTTGATGATGGCTGAAAGACAGGACAAGGAGCATTGGTCAGAGGACGGGTTAGAGCCGCCCATGTGAAAGTGTTTCTGAGCTGGGGTGGCGTCATGTTGTGCTAATGGAGCTGGAAAGGCCAATACCAATATACCGTACAGTGAAATTACAGACAGGGACTCAGTACTGACCAATAATAAACTGTCTGGGGGTC